AGGAACGAGCAAAAGCTAGGTCACGTGGTCACATGACCTACGACAGAATAAAAAACAAAAATGTTAAGGCATGTAGCCTCTTCTGGAAAGAATGCTCACTACAGGGGTCGAACCTGTGGCCTTGGCGTTATTAGCACCACGCTCTAACCAACTGAGCTAAGCGAGCTTTTTTCCTTTTTCGGCTTATATTTTTTCATCGGCGCGGTACTATATAAACAACAAAATTTCCATATAAGGAATGTGTTTCGATTGCATCCGGGAAAAGTATACAATGTAGCGGAAGCAGTGAAAAATGTGCTGGATGGTATGAAATGTGAGAAGGGAAGGTGTGTGGTGCCTAATTTTATGTAGAAGAGATTTCATTGTCGTAATGTGAATATTGGCAAATCAGAATTGTAAGGGCGGAACGTGAAAATCGGGTAACTTCAATCCATGCTTTGCTTCACATGCCACACGTTTAAGGTGATTCATGGTTGCTAGGTTACTTGGATCAACAAAGTTGGCTGATACACACGTAGCAATAGATGATAAATACAAAGAGAACTTGATAGCTATCATGTAAGCATGGCCTTATCTTATGCATTGGTGGAGTATTTGATGTAATAGAGCAACTTGGGATTGATCGTCAATTTAGCATCTCATCACGTTTTTTTATTTCTCGGCCATTGTATTACTGTTCACGTACGACTTTTTGGGGGGTAAGGAAAAAGAGATGATAAAGAGAGTGAGTTAAATAGAATACTTGGTTGAGTGGGATCATGTAATACAATGTGCAATAAGCCATGATGGGGGATTTGGGTCAAAAGATGCAGGGTGTTAGGTTGGGATGATTTGATTGCTTAGTTGTCTACCTCTAGCGTCTAGTCAAAGTCCCAACTAGGACCGGTGAAAATTTTCTGGCCTTCGCGTCTCCCCTTTTTCTCCCCAACAAGTTTTGTATTTACAAATGCCTCAAGAGGTAAATGAAGATTGTCTTTTGACTATTCATCTGTTGCAGTGTTGATGTGCAGTATACTGACGCGTGATGGTAGCTTGGTTCTGCGGTTCGTGCTTTGGCTCGCAATTTGGTCCATATTGCCGACATTCTTGATGACTTGAAGACCGGCATCCCTGCATTGGACGCTGCTGTGGGTGTTGACAGGAAGAAGAAGCGCAAATCCAGAGATCCCAATATGCCCAAGAACCCCAAGTCTGCCTATATTCTATTCAGCATGGCCAAGCGTGAGGAGGTCAAAAAGGAGACGGGTGGCGACGTCCGCGAAGTGATGACCGAACTTGCTCGTAGATGGCAAGCCCTTTCTGATAAGCAAAAGCAGGTATGTGTATATGTAAAAAAAGGGACAAGATGGGATTGGATCTCTTATTGCTGCTCTTTTTTATAGCCTTATATCGCTGAAGCCACCAAGGAAAAGAAGCGTCATGAAAAGGCGATGGAGGAGTACCGATTAAAGAAGTCTCTTGAAGAGGCCGCAAATGGTGACGTTTCTAATGATGCCGTGGACAATGAAGAAGAAGAAGAGGGCGAATCATCTTCTGAAGATCAATCTACATCATCATCGGAATCTTCAGCTGAAGAAGCTCCTGCCAAGGTTGTGCGAAAGAAACCTCTTGTCAAATTGGCCTCCAAGCCTTCCACTAAGCCTACCTCCAAGCCTGCCACTAAGCCTGCCACCAAGTCTGAACCCAAGACCGCCACCAAGCCTGAAATTAAGCATGCCGCCAAAAAGAAAAAGCATAGCTCCAGCACTCACAATGATCAACCAAACAAGAAGGCCAGAAAGAACAAGCAATAGTCCACCTTTTGAATCATTGTAATGCCATCATTTTATGACTCATCTTAAATACAAGAGCTGTATCAGCATTGCGTTTACTATCATATATGTATTTGTGTTTTGGGGTGGATGACAAGGATGATAATTGAAAAGTATGCAGCAGCTGTCATCAATGTTGACATGCTTCAAACAGCTTTTGCGTATGATTTGTGACGCATTGATAGAGTATAAGGAGCAAGGGAGGATACCAGGGGCAAATTTGGAGATATGTGGTGCGGTATAGGCTCGTGCTTGGTATAATTGATCCATTAGATGATTTTGATAGCTGTTTAGGTTAAGCTTGGTATCGCTTGCATAGCTCAAATCGAGGTAATAAAAGAGCACAGCAGCAATTTGGAAACCATAGATTAGTTAAAAAGTCGCCCCATTTCAGTAATTTCGTATGAGCATACAAACGAATTGAGCTTTACAATGAAGGATGCATGTGCGGGGTATGCACGGAAAAAAAGGATCCCTTGAAAAACAGATGGTAATAAGTAAACATTTACCAGCGAGGTGATGATCAATACCAACCAATGTTTGTGATGCATTGATGAGAAAATAAAGAGGATTCCTAGTGACGTGACACGAAATCCTGCATGACATCTTCATGTAACAACAGCGGGATTGTGTGTTTGTTGCACTACGTGAAATCCACAACCAAGCGGTCAAGGCACAAACGTATGACTGATATGAGGAATGAGTGGTTGTTGTTGTATGATATTTGGAGACAATAGCAAGTAGGGATGATGCATATGGATACCAAAGGACACGAGTATTGTGCTGAAACTGGATATTTAGGCTAAAAGAGAGAACAAAAGCATGGAAGTGGGGCACAAACCCATCACCCCCTTTTTCTTTCCTTGACCTCTTTTCCTTGTTTGCCCTCCCTGTTTTTCTTTTTCTTTATTTGCACCCGTACATCCTTCACTTTTTTTCCTTCTTTCTTTTTCCACTACCACGTTATCTGTTATGGCTCTTTACCCAACAACATCTTCACCTGCAAGTACCGCTTTCATTCATGGATCACTTGCAGCTTTGGAACAACAAGATCATACCATCAACCCTACTATCGATGACACAAAAGAACAACCATGTCGTATCACAACATCAACTCCCGATAGCAGTGCCTCGTCCTTGTGTTCATCCTCTAGCAGTGAATGCTCGTTAGAGATGAACATTAACAACAACAACTGCTTGGAAGAAGCATCATCCAACCAACAAGAGAATGGTCACAACAATGAGCAACAACAAGTGTCAGGTGGCTCGCGTCACGAGTGCAGCACTCCTCCTTTGTTGCCAACAACAGCAGATGCAGCTGCACTATGCTGGGAAGTGTTATTGTATTCCTATTGCTCACAATGGCTACTTCCACCCTTGGTCAAGGACGACGTGTTTTTGGGGCCACCCATTAATGACAATGAATCAGTCATGACGGCAAGTAGTAGTGCGAGTAGCATTATAGCTTCAAACAAGAACCCGGCACCCACACCATCACCTCCTTGCTTATCCCCTGTATCAGCTCCGGCGGAATTCCTGTGGAACCACGAGCCGCTTTTTGACGGCATTGATGATCTGCAGCACCAACAACCACCATCCGATAATGAAAACAAAAATAATGGGTCATCATCATCATCATCATCTACTCCACCACCTCCTTCAATACCCACACCATCCACCATGGATGATGATATCAGCATGCCATCACCTTCCTCTATTTGTGAAGCTGACGACATCAGCTTCTTTGATGACGATGAAGAGGAGAATAATAATAATGTGCCACGCCTATCTTTAAAGCGTCAACGTTCCGAAAATGAGGCATCGCCATCACCAACACCACCGCCACGCAAGAGTACTCGTTCCAACAAACCAACACCCTCACATCAAGCCACCACAACAAGTAAACGACGTACCAAACGATATGCTGGAAGACGTTCACGAAGCAAGCCCATCAAAGTGATTGCACCTTACCACGAGCCGCAGGACGGTGATGAATATCTTACGGTATTTGAACGATTAACACAAGCGGGGATCGATTGGTGCCGCTACTGTGGAACCACAGAGGGCGTTAACTGGCGTCCTGGACCATGGGGCAAACGTACATTGTGCAAGTAAGTGATCCGTAATAGAGACACGCGTTTTGAGGTATTAATAAGAGTGTCCATATTAGCAAACATGGATGTGACTATAAGGGCTATGGTATTGCAAGTCGATTGCCACGACTTGATCTTTCAGCCTTTGCCAACGAGCACCTTGAGGAGCGTAAGCGACCTGTTGTTCAGCAATTCTGTATCGTTTGTCATAGTCCAGAATCCGTTGTTGGAAATAAGCTTGTTGCTTGTGAAGGAGGATGTTCACGCGCATACCATCAGCATTGTCGTATCCCTTCCATCCCCAACACAGCATGTCATGATCAGCAATGGTGTTGTAGCACTTTGTGTCGTGAAAACCGCAAACGTAACAAGGTTGGGCCGTACGACGCGTGAGTTTAACACAACATCGCAGCACCATGTGCATACATTACACCACACACACACAATCAATCATGCATAACACACACACACACACACTCACACTCTCACAACATGGCAGCATATATTTACTCTCAACATTCCACCATTACCTCCTTGTGGAACATCTGCATTGCATTCCATCACCTCCTTTTTCATTTCTTTGTGTTTATATACGTTCCCGTTTTAGGGTTTAGACCGTCATCACTTTGTGTAATTTACAAAAAAACAAGTAAAGTACTTGCAGCAGCAGCACCAAATAACTCAACGTCCTGATGTTGGATAATGAATTTGTTATATCGTCTTTAAGCATCATAGTAGACCCGGATCATCTCTACATCATTAACTTTAAAGTTTAATCCTCACACTCTCCCCCCCAAACCAACCTCCTTTTTATCTTGGTTGTTTAACAAGCTCACATTCATCCATTATAGTGGTGATGCATAGCTCACAGACAACAGCCACCACCACCTTCTTCATCCCTACCCTCCTCGCTGCCTTAGGTGCTGTCAATAATGATGCCTATGTAGCAAAATGGGTTGTCAAAATGGTACTCCGGTTCGGTGAGCTGCATTAGCGAATCAAAGTCTTTTTTTATTTCTTTTGCTTCAAAACCCACTCATTCCACAACCACAACCACCACCCACAACGCACTCCATGAAGAAGTTGATTGCTTCTATTGAGGAGCATGTCGCTTTCTATGGACCTAATGGTAAACGATCTCTATCTATTCGACCCGCATTGTATTGCATGACACTCATGGGTGTCAAAAAACAGGTTGCGACGTCGAGTCATTGTGGCCCGTTATGCAAGCGATCGAGGCGACAAAGTCAAAGTGTTGGCGTGTCTTGGTTGGAATGAAATCGCTCGAGTTTTATAACGTATGTACAACGAGTCTCCATGGAGAGAGAGAATAGTCTATGCTCATTGCTACTTCTTGCAGGACAACCAAAAGCTCGATCGACCACGCGATATGAAACTTGAACACGCTGACAGTATACGAGTTGTTGCCCCCGCCGAGCTTCGTAAAAAGGTCCTTTTGCGATATGCACCGGTAATGGAAAGACCGAGTTGTCTTGTGTGGATAAGCTTTCAATAACAGTCTTTCTATTATTATGCAGCAGCAGAATCCAAATCTTACACTCAATGCGAACCAGTTTGCTGTACTCGACAAGATTGCAAACACACGGCGTGATGGCATCCTTCAAATTCAAGTTGCACGTGAACTTGGTGTGGATTCTCGGGCTGTGTATCCAGTCATCAAGCGTTTGGAGGAACATGGATTAATGTAATGATGGACACTCACCCTATGGGCATCGACATTCAATTTGTATTGACTCTGTGATCTATAGCATCAAAACACGTGTATCCACCAACAAGACATGGACGAATCTTTTACATCATATTCGATTTTCACCGGATGAGATGGTCACTACGCCTACAATGGATCTCCAAGGCATTATTCACTATGATACGCTGCAAAAGCAATTGGTCAATGTGCTATCCGAAGCAAAAGACGACATGATTCCCATGGCTGAATTATTCAAGATATTTGTGAGTGTATTGCCATTAGGGAAAGGGAGTCCACCTATAACTAATACGGTTGGGGGGATTCATACAGGGTTTTACGACAAAGCAGCAGAAAAAGTGGATGAGTCGATTCTTTGTGCGTGCCATTGAGGAAGGATACATTGAAAAGAAGCGATTGGTGATTGATGGCATCAAGACTGTTTGCATCAAATTGCTGCATTCACCCATCCAAAAAGAAGAGCAAGAAGGTAAGTCATTATAGATTTATCGATGCATCATGGATCTAACCTAGATTATCAAAGTAGCCGCGCCCAAGCCAGAAGAAGATACTGAATCATCCAGCTCAAAGAAGAGGAAGCGACAATATGGCCAGCTTTATGGAAAGGAGTTGCAAGATCGCATTGTGCAAGTGATTGGTGAAGCAAATGACAAGGGAATGACACGTAGGGTATGTAATTTACATCTTATTGTGTGAAAACATTTATTGATAACCTTTTGTATATTAGCAAGTGGAGCATGCCCTTCCAGAAGCTACACCAAGTGCCATCAAACACTTTCTCAAAAGCATCATCAGCATGAACAATGACAACGACAAGGATCAGCAGCTTTTTCATGTCATTGAAGCTCAGGGACGTGGTCGTTGTTATCGCTACTTTACACGGGTTGGCCTCGACACTTTTCTCAGCAACCGCGGTCAGATATTAGCCGGTCCCAATCATGATCAAGAGGGTTGTGCGGATGAAAACGAGACATCAGCATCAGCAGCTGTACCTGAAGAGCGAGAGAAGGATGATGATACATCAAATGGCACCAAACGGGCATTGACAACCACAACCAATGAGACACCACCACCACCACCTTCAAAGAGGGTCAAGACAGTAACAGAGGGTGGATTTACCAAGGGCACGCGACAATCCATGAAAGGCACCAATGTCACTATGGACAATCGAAGAAATGCCATGGCAACCATTGTCTTGCGCGACAAAGTACGCGAGTTGCATGGTGATTTAAGAGAGGAAATTATGGTACAAGCGGGTGAAGCGGATAGCAACCATGTGATAGCAAGAGCGACCTTGATGCGGATGGCAGAGCGATTGGAGAAGAGCAACGTGATCCGTATTATGAAAACGGCAGTGCCTACAATGACGGGTGCCATCGAGACAAAGATTCTTTTGCTTCACCCTGATGTGGGCGACAATGATGAGATTGTAAAGCAATACATGGAACGGCTGAGGATGAATCGCATGGTCAAGCCCATTGTTTGCAGGAAATTGCCTGAGCTTGAAGTTTATGACAGAGGAGAATCAGCAACACCTTCCACATCGAATGAAATGACACCTAGACAACATGCCGCATTGCAAAAGGTGTATGGTGCTCCTGACAAGTATTGGCGTGAAGTTGCTTTGCGTCATGGTTGGCTTAGTTCGAGATGGCTACGCGCTCGTGTGTTGCATGAATATCTCTTTGATCAGAAAAACAGCATGGATGCCGTTGATTTTGGAAACGTGATTTCGCATATGCCACTGGATGTTTATCGTAAAGCATTTGGTATTTGCAGCTACACCGAGGAAGCCGAAGAGTTTTTACGCAACAATGACAACCCAGAGATACCCCTTTCCATGATACCATCCAATTTGCATCCTACCATTATCACCAGCACGAGTCGATTAAGGCACCGTTTATTCAAGTTGTTGGCTATTCTGGAAGCATTGGAATTGATGGAACCACACACCTTGACGCGCCCAACAACAGCCACAGAAGAGCGACCTACCATCACCTTGACACGCATTGGTAGAATACGCAACTTTTTGGATGCATCACGGCCTATCCTCAAAGAAATTGAGTTCCACTCACTCGACAATGTCAAGGCATTTTGGGATGAATTACAATTCACGTGCACTTGTGAACACACTCGAACCACAGGGACCCCTCGTGGCCAAGGTGAAAAGGAAGATTTGCTAAGTTCCATCACCATAGCCAGAACATGGGGTATCCATATCCTATTGAATCCTCAGCAGCGTCAGCTACTTGAATCGCATGTGGATCGCACCAAAGGAAAAGCACCTTGTGACGATGACAAGTTGATTTTGCATTTATCACGACAAGTATCATTAGCGCCTTCTCGTGTCAAGCGGTACTTTGAAGGGATCATGCGGCTGCATCATGGTGGTCCTAGCAGTGGCAGCAGACCGGCTCGAAAAACGCGCCCTCCAGAGGTTGTTAGCAATCTTATCAAATCGGCCATCTCAGGAGAAAGCGTACAGGCTTACAAGTCAAACAACATTGAGCAGACATTTACTCCCACTCGACGCTACTTGAGACATCGATTTCCAACATCCAATACAGCAGGTACCCTCCCCCGCCCATACATTGGCTCAATCAATCGATATTAACGTTTGCTGGATAGATTTGTCACGTCCCAAAAAGTATAGAAAGTGGAAGAAAACGGAGCAAGATGTCCTCATCCATGCTTTTACCATCATGCGTCAACGTGCCGATGCACTCCATATTCCGATAGCATGGAGGCCGATTGAACAAGTTTTACCGGGTTGGGATTATGAGACGTGTCGACGGCGTTTGCATCATATGAAGAGTCATTCTCCTCATCTTGGACAAGATTTGGTCAACTTGAAGCAACAATGGATAAAGATCTACAATGATGGCATTCGATCTGGTGAATTGGTGGATGATCGGCCTTGGGATGTTGTCGATTTTGATTTACCAGGGCAATTGGAATATTTTGTAACCAAGTTACATGCATCACCGGTCCAGTAAGTTGAATGTGTGTGGAAAAGGTTAATATGACTGATCCCTTTTTATTTTAGGATAAATGCATCATTGGATCGTTTACCGGATCATCGACAAGAACTTTTGGATCTCTACAACATCGTTTCCAGGATACCCTATCAGCACATGGAAACCATGCTCACTGTACACGGTGATCGGAGGAACCTTCAACACGATCCCACTTGCTCAAGAATCACGCATATTGCTGTGTTGATCAAGGTACTACGAGTCCTCCCTTTTATTTGATTGTGTGACTAATGGATGGCCTATTAGATGGTGCTGTTGACAGCAACGAGCGATTACGACCCGAAGATTGCTCATACATTATTGGAACGATTCAGTCAGCAGGAAACGATGGATGCAACTCGATACTTGCGTGATGCAGGGGTACTGATCAAGAACAGAAGCTTTGGTGCAAATCGAATGATCCCAGGTCGACAATACAATTTTTCGGAAAAGTAAGAGACGATGGTTGTCATGGTGATGGATTTCCACTTTTTCACTCACCACGTGTGGGATATGTAGGTTCTTGAAGAAGTTTACTTGCTCGTTTTATCCCTCTCGGTTACTACAACAGTCAAGTGATTTTTATCAAGGATTGCAACCCAAGATAGACCTAAACAAGGATCAAATATCGGGAGGAGCTATGGCTGTTATATTGGACATGCTATCTACGGATCAGGTAAGATGCGAGCCATACTTGCTGTATCGGTATGTGAAGCTGATGTTCATTGTCAATAGATGAAACTCAACATGAGAGATGAAGAGCAATACTTTAAGGCGCATTACAATTCCACATTGGCCGAAGTTGTTGATGGTAAGCTATCAAGAAGGAGTGGGGGATCACGTGGTCAAGAGAAAACATGATTGATTGACTTTGCATTTAAAGATAATCTTTCTGCAAAATGGATTAATCAGGGATTTGATGTTATCCTCGATACCAACAAGCCCTCCATATCCCATGAGCAACATGCCGAGCCATTCGATACCGATACTTTTATGCCACCTATGGAAGCAGTCGATGCATTGGATTCAGATACCCGTTCTGTGTACGATTTGATTGACCATTATGGAAAAGATGGGGCCACACTGCCTCTGCTCAAAGTAAGTACCGGCAATGGGGTCCACATACATCATAACTTAGGAAACTTCATAGGGCCAACTTGACATACCGGATAGCAAGATAATACAGGCGACCCAGCAACTAATATTGGAGTCATTGGTTATCCGCGTTGGCTTCTCGGATTTGCGTCTCGTCACCTATCGACATGTTGGCCATTGGGCGATCCCACTTGATGACAGCAAGCATTTTCATCCTCGAATGTGGCGCAATATTCATGGAAAGACAATTCCCACTGTATTGGAAGGATGTGCAGAAGCTGTACTCCAGCATATTTTATCAACGCCGGGTATCAAGCAGGTATGGGGAGGAACACGGCATGATCTCTCTTATGATTGTTCTCTTATGCATCATCGTATATATGTATAGTCTCAATTGTGCGACATCTTTGAAGGATACATGGCTAAGACCGAAATGATGGATGTGTTGCAATATCTGGAACAGCGACATGCTATCAAGAGCAAGCAGTTTCATGAAGTGAAAAAGGTTGGGCTCTTTGGACGGCGTGTATTTAGCAAGTCATTAGGTAATTTACTATTATTATGCGAGCTACGTTACAAGCGGAGACTAACTAACACGGTTAATAGATAATGATAAGATAGCTCACGATAGCGTCATCCATTATTGGCCTTTAGCTGGATACTACAAGTCCATACAAGTTTCGAGATGATTTGTTTAAATGCATCATTAAAGCAAACAAAAAAGTGAGCGGTTGGTTGCCTGTCAGTGTCAGTTGTGCTCAAGCAAACATGCAAATGTTGGTTACACAGCATTTGGAAGAACGATAAGAGGATGGGGATATCGGTACCAAGATAACGATATGATGGGATAGAAGCGTGTGAATGCGTAGGAGTGTCGTTGCCATGGGGATAAATGTGTGTGTGGTGTGTATGTGTGGGTTACTGCTGCAGTGTGAAAACAAAAAAGCGACACAAATGGTAATGAAAGGACGGCAGCAGATCTCTCACTTGTTTTTTTTCCCGCTTGCCAGAACATACCCTTTCTTCTCATTCACACACATAATGTTGACGGCCTTAGCCTGGACATTTATTGCTTGTATCATTGTCTTTTTCCTTGTCATTGTCTTTCTTTTATTCTTTACACGGTCACCCAATCAGTTATCCCTGTCATTGGTCGATAGCGAATCCAACTTTGAGGAATGGTTACAGGAATCGGAAGACCAAATAGCGACGCTTTCGGAAGATGCTCGGTTAAGTTATGAGAGAGCCAAAGGTAATGGGGAACTCTAGTCCAAGACCAGCGTTGTGTGTGCGTGCGTGTGTGTGTGTGTGTGTGTGTGTATACTCATATCGCTCTATAGTGTTTCAACAGCGACATCCACCTGATAGTATACCCACCGATATCACCCCGCCTCAGCTTGTGTCTATCCAAGAGAAAGGTGTTTCGGCCTTTGAGTTTGAATGGGAACCAGATGCAAACTGCTTTGTAGCAGCACGTACAGAAATACAATTTATTCATGGAGAATCCTGTGTACAAACCAATCTACCTTTGCCAAGAAATCAAGAAGTATATTATTGGGAGGTAGGTACTACATCTTTCATTCATTCATCATCCTGCTAGTAGTTTCTTATCTCTTTCTTTAGGCCAAAATGTTTGATCTTCCCGAAACAACCACCGTATCTGTTGGAGTAGCTACTAAGCCATATCCAAGCTGGCGATTACCGGGTAGGATTGGAAGAGTGTTGGGAAAACAGGAGGAGAGTACTAAAGTTGATAAATATTCAAAAGGCTGGAACCGTTATTCGATTGGCTACTTTTCCAATGATGGCAACAAGTACTTTAGCTCTCCTTTCAATGGCAAACCCTATGGGCACACTTTCAAGCATGGCGATGTGGTGGGTGTTGGCTATCGACATCGAACGGGGACGATCTTTTTTACAAAGAATGGACGCAGATTGGAGGATGCCTATACAGGCTTAAGGTGGAATTTGTTTCCGACAGTGGGTGCGAACGGACCATGTCAAGTGCACGTCAATCTTGGTCAAATGGGATTTGTGTTTATTGAAGCCAATGTGAAAAAGTGGGGACTGGCACCATCTCAAGGAACACTTGCACCGCCTCCTGCTTATGGATTGGAACGCGATACGATTCTACTTGCATCATCCAATATCGACACTAATCAACATGGTGACAGCAGCAGCAGCAGCAGTAGTAGCAGTCATCATGCACAACAAGACGTCGTAATCCCAATGGCGGGTGGTGGCAATACAACTCATGAACCTCCTCCCTATACTTCACAACATCGTCAAGGCGAGAATAGTAGTAGTAGTCATAGTCATAGTCATAGCTAATCCCTCATCATCACCATCATCATCATCATCCTAATACTATTTTTCTCTTTTTGCATTAACGAGGCGTTTCTTCATTTGGAGGGATCATCGCGGTGTTTGTAACCCAGCAACGTGGCGACATGTCGTGGAGCAGCCTGTCTCTAGAGATTCTATACAACCCTCTCCACCTCCTTTCTCCCTTTCTTTCTCGTATACCTTTAATGAGTGATAACAAAGGTTTGCATTGCTCTCATTGAAAAGAGCCTGAATCGAGCATTGGGCATTGACCAAATGATAACACTAGATTCCACATCAGCTTCTGACAACTCGGAAGAGCCTGTCCAAGTGACCAACAAGTACGATAGCACGCAACTGAAAAACGCCATTGACGATGAAGTGCGTCGAGTAAGTCATTCTCAACAGCCTTTATGACGCGTGTATACATGTATCTCACATGTTCCATTCTAGTTTTTTGGAAAGGAACGCGACTATCAAGAAGGGCATTTACATACGGATATCAAGCTGGTGTTAGGATATGGCTCATGTCTGCTGGCTGGTGCTGCATTCCTCTTTGAGTACTATTCTAGCTTTGAAGAAGCCAAGCCTGTATTGTGGGTTTCTGTCATTGTATTCTGGATCTTGCAAGCCATTTCATGGATCTACACCACCTTTGTTGAAAAGAATGAAATCTTTGTTGGTTACAAGCATGATCCAAAGACGGGAGATGTAAGTAGATACATATGAAAACAATGAAGCTATCACGTTCTTATGCATTCATTATTAGCGACAGGGCATTGTCACGGTATCGGCTGATGCTCATCGACATTCTCCACTTTATACCCTTACGCTTCGCTTTCAAGATCAAGTCCATAACAAGGTGTCTACGCACAAGGTTGAGAAGAATGTGAATACTTGGTTTACAGAAGAAGGTGTCCTGGTCAAAGAAGCATTGGATAAGGATTTACGGGAAGGAGATGAGGAATTGATTCGCAAGATGCACAAGGAGTAGATGATGAGAGGGAAAGATTATGTTGCAGCATTGGCATCCAAATACATTTTTTATCTCTTGATAAATCGAGGAAAATTGTTTTTATGATACATCGAGCAAAAGAATAAGCTATGCATTATCAATGTTGTTAATTGATCTAATCGAGATCAAGGTTCATGTAATCCGAATTGGGGTCAAATCTGCGTTGTCGTCGAGGAGTAGGAGTCTCGTGTTGATGATTTGTGTTGATAAAGGAACCAGGCATGGTACTAGTAGTGGTGGTGTTATGGCGTGTTTCTGATGATGTCCCATGACCAAAAAGTCGACGTGTGGTATCAAATAAAGCGGATATCGTGTTTGTACTTGTTGATGCTGCTCGACCACCACCCGCAGTGTTGTTGTTACTACTATTATTGTTGCCATTGCTATCTTGCTTATCTTTGGAGCCATCAATCACTTTGCGACTACCATGATACAAAATAAGCATCGGGGCCGAATGGCAACAACAACCACAATGAGACTACACGTACCATACAGGACAAGTTCCATTGATCTTGAGCCATGGTTTGATACAATCGGGATGGAAACCATGGTTGCATTCAAGTTCAATCACATGATCCTCTTGCTCGTATTCATCTTTGCAGACTGCACAATCCGCCTTTTCAGCTATACAAGTTTATCAGTCTTCGTATCTTGATCATTCACTGCTTACATACCAATTTCCTTTTGATTCAGCTTCCGTGTAGGCAACGACTCAATAACATTGGCAGGCGCCGGTGGGGGTGCGTTGCTATTACGGAACCATTAGTATCCTCTCATTGTTCTTCATGTTCATGCCTCCTTACCCATTACTTTGACTCATCAGTTGCGTCATGATTTGATCGAGAGCATCTTGAGAGAAAACATAGTCGTCAAGGTTGCTTGCAAAACCATCATTTGGCATCACCATCCCATGCAGGAACTGAAATAAAGCGCTTGTGGTGTTGTGCAAGATGAGCTGAATGCTGGTGGTACTACTACCAATCCCTCCTTTGCGTGTGGGGCATTACCTGTGAAAGACATTGGGACGAAGCTGCTCATTTTCGGTGGTCGCGGCGGTTGATCGTGTTTGAAATGATGGATTATTATGGTCATTCATGGTCTCTCGATGATGGTGGGTCGTTCCAGAATAAAGGTTATAGGGTGGCTCTCCTCGTCCTAGCGTTGAGGTGTCGAATATGGATGACATCCAATTACGAACCGATTCTGGTAGCATCTCAGGATCCATGGTGGGTGACATGATATAGGATCTTTCTTGCTGATGATGATGATCACGATCATCAAAAGATTGTCGAGCAAAGGCAAAGAATTCAGCTTCGACACTGTCAAAGGGCGAGAAACCTGTGGGTCGCATGCGTCGTCTCCTTGTAGTATTGACATCATCATCATCATCATTATCATCGTCACCCCTTGCGAAGAACCTACGCGGGTCGTTGCTGCCAGACTCAACCTAAAGAATGATATGAGTTCTAGGTCAAGGGAACCAAGCACACGTGGAATGGCCTCTTACTTCTTGTACAAACTGATCATTGCAGCGTTGACACGTGGGATCAGGAGTCATGTAGATAGGAACTTCGTCATTGCAAGCATAGCAAAAATAGCGTGGCATGGGTTGTTGTACGGTGGTGGACATGCTAATGTACACAAAGCAGGCGAGATGAGGGAAAAGAAAAAGTACCTTTTACTGCAATAATAGTAGTAGCATAAAAGGAAAGGAAATAGGATGGTATATGTCACGTGTGATTTTCATGCAGCTACTCTAAGTGCACCATGGTGAACAAACTCCTACACAGCGCCAATGACTTTTGACAAAGACAATCCAACGGCCGATTCATGCATGAACAATTACCACCACACGGGGTTCTCTCCATGACTTGATCTTGCTGTAGATGCCTTCCCCCTTTTTATCAATGCATCATTCCCATTATCATTCTTTGTGAGCACAGTATTAACCCAACCCAAAAGGATCGTATTCTTCCACGCAACAAGTCTTCCCTCTATCAAAGACGCTTTGATTGCTTACTCGAGTTTTTGTGGTGGTATCACAGTAAATAGCTCTTTTACTACCCTGGTTGTTCATGGCTTTTATCTTTACTGTAAACTCATCGTAATTAGGACTCAGATTACAATGCTTGAATGGGGGCTGTTTCACTTACACTGAGAAAACGGGAGTAAATCCCCATCCAGTGGTCAAGCTGGATCAAATGAGTCGGCGAGATGGTGGTATAAAACATGCTGGTCGCTTTTGTGTTGCAAGCATGGTTCGTAAAATGGTGGCTTGATTATCACCAGCATTGCCATCGCGGTGCGTGACACGACGGCAGCGTGAACAATAAAGGACTCTGAATGATGTTTGTTGGCCGATTGGGCTAGGACGTTGCAAATATCGAGTAACAGAAGGATTCCCACTCTTTACACAATGGCAGCACATTTTTGTCGTATTATACTCGCAGACACGCGTGCAATGATGAAAACCTCCTTGAAGTATGCGTGCATGCAAACGGTTTGCCAACTTGTTGTCTTTGGATGCCATTGCACCTTTCCTTGCTTTCTGCCGCATGCCATCCAATCCAAATCCAAATAGTACAGGCTTCCTGGCATCTGCTTCGGTAACAGTCTTTTTATGCTGATTCATGATCAATCCACAAGCAGTGTCGAGACGCGATCGTTGGCTCATAGCAGTATCCCAATCCTTGCGGCGAACTGATGTACTCGAGTAGAAATCAAAAAGTTGATTGCCGATTTCTTCATCTCGCAGTGCCTTGATATACACCATATAAGATTGTAGATCCTTTCTTGTAGACCCGACACTGAGCTTGCATTCCAAAACCTCGATGTCATTGGCAGCTTTTCTGTTCAAAAGCCAGTTGCGGTTGGGAATGTTGTTGCCGTATAGAAAACCTCTCTTGATGATAAGCTGTGAGCTCTTGGACATTGAATCAGATGGATGGAATACGCTTGCCACACTGCAAACTTCACCAAAATCAAGGCCAATGGTACCAGCGTAGTTGTTGAGCATGTTGATAGCCCCGGTATCAAGATCTTCATTCCAATGCTGGGCTAGTTTCTCTGGAATTGTGCGTCGTATCTCTGTCAAGTACTTTGCATAGCAGCCTTCTCGTCGTCGTCGCTTCCAGTCCGTATAAAGAGCTTGTAGTCTGATGCCATCTGTGCGGAATATGCCTTTTGCTTCATATCTCGGCGACTTGTATCCAGGCCGTCGTTCCTTCAATGTGCGTGCATGGTGACGTGTACGCCGCATAATACTCCCGTTCTTGTTCGAGACATATGCACTGAACTTGATATCGAAGATGACATCGAAAGGGTCTCTCCTCTTTCCTTCAACCTTGAGCCTCTTGATCGCATCGTATGAATCTTTTATTGCTAATGGTACATAATGAATTAATAACCACGTGGTTGTGTAAAAATGACCAATTGCCTTACCGGCATCAAGTCGGCCTTGTTCTTTGGTGTCTTTGCTGTTGCTTCTTGTTTTCTTCATAGTATCCATGTGATGACGAGCAAAATGATCAAGATGGTCAAGGAATGTGTCCGCAAACGTGTTGCTGATTGGAATCGATATAGTATGACAAGGTTGCACAGGGCATATTGAAAAGCTCATTGCATCTGGATATGTCTCGAGGATATTCATCAAGATGGATACAAGTGGGGCAGCTTTGGCACGTGATGGCTTTCCAGCAAAGAACGAATCTCCGATATCCTCCTCGTCCTCATCATCCTCATCTTCATCGGCAAGCTGAGCATAGTAATCATCACCATCATCCTCCTCGTCAAATGCTTCTTGTCTTTTTCTTTTTTTGGGGATTGACGCCCGCTCTTGCTTCACACCTATACAGTCGCCAAGATCCAGATCCGCAATTGATGATTTTCCTGCCTTGACAGCCTTCTCCTTATCAATGAAACGCATGATGGAAGTACGGATGGCAGGTGGCAGCTTAGCGATTTCTTGTTGAATCTGGTCATACGGCTCATCGTCTTCGTCATCTTGGATTCTTTCATCAAACGGCACACCCCAAATCTTAAAGAATATGTACTTCAAGAAGTTTGCTGACGTAGGCCAATCTTGAGGAGTGGTGCATCGACGACATAGATAGAGTTCAAACAGCTGTGGAGTGAATGGCGCCTTGGTAGCAACAATTTGCTTCACCGTGTTGTTGACAAATTGTACAACTTGTTTCGTGACATTTGCTGATAAATGAACGCCATCAAAAGCTGAACCAAGTTTTGCTGATGATAAGTCTGCTTTCTCAAGTCGCTTGTCGATCTCAGAATACAATGCATCAAGGAAGGAATCATGCTGAGGCCAACCTTGAGGAATGCGCGACTCTTGCTTCAAACGCCAGGTGAGATATTGCAAATAGCGTTGCTTGAAATGCAGTACGATATTCAGGCGAAAATTGGTACTGAGATCCACACCGATTTGGTTGTTCATGTGTACAAGATGTGTGCTCGCTGGGATCTTTGGATCATGATGTCCGTTGAAATACATTTTGCGTGCTGTCAACAAAACGTTTCTCAAGATCACATTGCCCTCCATCAAGTGCGATAGTTGAATGAAAGAAAGATCCGAATCATACGCCTTAAAAACGCCAATGTCAAATCCATCCCGCAGATTGCCTCGTTGATCCAAAAGATCAGTTTCTTCCTTGTACTGAGCATGCTGGTACTTTTCCTTCACCGCTTGAGTTGCGCCTCTTCTTTCTGGCAGATAATCGGAGCCACAGCAAAGGATGTACTTCCATATCTTTGCTTGTTCAGCTTTTTTTGTCAGGAAAAAAAGCTCAAAAAATGTCTCAGCGATGTCGTGATCAAGGTGCTTGTATGCCAGGCGAATCGCAATATTTGTGATGTGTAGTGCAACATATCTTTGGTAAGACACATCGTGTACCAATTGGCGAAGAGATGCTACCAGCACATCAGCTTCATGGATAGCAAGACGATCCCTGTTGTCACCATCACCCTTTTGCCGCGCCACGGCAGCACTGAGTACGGATGAATGTAATCCCGCTTCCATGGTGGCAACAAAGCGCGATCCTTCCTTAACCTTCGAAGTCGATTTCTTGTTTGATGAGCTGGGCTGGACGACAGGTGTTGAATGTTGCTCTTCAGCGACATTGATACCATCAAATGAATCATTGTTGAAAACTCTGTATCGAGAACCATCTTGTCGCGCATCATTTGGAATGATCACATCGTGGACACCATCCACAAGAGGCAATATCGAATCGTCAGGCATGAACGGTATCAAACGACTGCGTTGTTGTTTGTTTGGCGAAGCAGCATCGAAATTGGTTACCAATGGGTGGCAGTATTGGTGCAACGCCACCTTAAAACGCAAGGCGAATGATTCAGGAGCATTCAGTTTGGCAAGCACGAGCTCCAACAGCTGATCAGCGGATCCATCGAAATTCTTCAAATCATCCATTGCCTTTGATATAGAAATGAACGAACGTTGGGGCAGATTGGGTGCATAATCATTGCCACATGTAGCCGCTAGTACTGAAAACCACACTTGACCCTATAGCCAATTGATACTGTGAGTAAAAGGCAAAAGAGTACATGTAAAATGAATGTGATTATACATACCATTTTGAGTGCGTCTTCAGTGTCTGTGCGGTAATTCAAAGTGCTGAGTATGGCGCGCTTGTTGGTGATGGTGCCTTTCAAGGTCTCCCAGTTCATCTTAATCACATGCTAATAATGACAAAATTAGTTCTGGGGTCATGATTATATATGAATGATTGATAAACTTACTGGTGTGTCAATATTGCCACCGTATGCAAAAAGGTCGCCATCTGCAGACATGATTGCTCCTCCTCTGCCATCGTGCTGAAACTGATTGCATAAGAACACAATCTCCGAATCGGCTTCAAATGGTGCTTGATGCATGAAGATGCCTTGTTCAGAATCGCTGCTTATTGGATCATACAGCTTGACCAGTTCTTCCTTTCCAAGGTATTCCACAACTGCCAACTTCATCGCCTTGGTAAACGTCACCCATGCACGTGTCAACTTCTGGAACTTCTGTCTCTGGCGCTCGGTCTTCAAGCCTCTTCGCACCAAACGACGTGCTCTCTGAAATGCCTTGTTTCTTGCGTGTGATCGTGCGGCGTGTGTATTGGCCTTCGCTTTTAACTTGTCACCATCGAACACGAGACATATCCGCTTGAGGCCCGCTTGATCCTTAAGGGTACGCACTCTCTTCAATATGCCATCAGCCAGATCTTTGACAATGTCAAGGCTCTTGATAGCATCAACGCTGTTGTCAATATCTTGTCCTTTGTTGGCAGCATGGAACAACTTCTCAGAGAGAGGATTCAACAGGTCAAAGAACTCGCAACACACGTCGATGTAGAGCACGCCAGGCTGGTAGGAATGAAGCTCTTTCGGAATGTCTTTGCCTGCCTGTAATCGGCCATGCTTACGCAGGTATGCGTGGAGGCCCTTGACACCCATTCTACAGTAGTAATTGAATGTGAATCGCTTTGTGACAGCAATGTGGTTGTGAGGTTGTCGATCTTACGTTTGAATCGAGGAATGTGACAGTGAGGGTGTAGAGTAAGCGTTTGAATACGGGTAAGAAAGGAGGAGCTTGCACTGATAGGATCAAGCCATTGATATCATCTACACGTGACATTATCTCCCGCCAATTGGCAAATGTTAGCCCCATGACTCAAGACGCTCATTCTATGTACCCAACTAAATAGCTAGAAATAATCCACAAGTATCAGCTACATCCTCGATTCTCCAATGAGGCTATTAATGATTTACTCGACAACCTATGATAATAAACGTAGAATGAATAACGAGGATGGGGTATGGATGGGATGATTATTATGCAATGCAACAAAGCGTGACCTCGTCAAGACGTACCCACATGGATCCCATGGCAGTGCGTAGATTATCATCCTTGTACAGCTTTGTACTGAGCAATTTATTTCATAGACAATAAGACTACACTAATACCTCGAAGGAAATTACAATGCGCAATATCTACAATCGTGTTCACCTCCAACAACTACCTTACCATACCCAGATTGCCTCGCCCAAATTATTCGCTGCATACCAAAGCACAATCCTCCTTGATTGAGCATATCCGAAAGGACCATCATCCAAACCTACCTTATAGTCGCCAAGGTTTGCTACCACCATCCATTGGGATACACCAAAAATAGCGTTGCTTGCACCATCAAACAGCATCAAGATAAGATATAGAGGAAACCATGCCAGGGAGCACCTAAGCAAGTTTGTAAAAACCTTTGGTTTGTTGATAGTATGCTTGCATACGATGCCCTTGTTGGTACCTGGAACTTGTCAATATGATTAAGATCAACACCAAGAACTCTTGCGAGCTGTGACGACGACCTTTGAAGAATCGTTTTCTTGAATAGGTGTGGGTTATGGTCAAAAACACGAGTTGAAACTGGCTGTGTTGAAGAAGAGGTGGAAACAAGAACAAAGCATCGATGAGCGAATTAAGCTGTCCATAGTGATGACGCATACCCGAGACAGATGCTGACTGCAAAAGACAAGGAATGAGTGTTGCTGAGGAATAGAAGCAAAGCTTTACTGTCGTGTTGTGTACAAGTGCTACAACAAAGAGGAGGAAGTCACCAGTAACACTTGAAATGGAGGGCATTTGTCCCAACTGGAGTGACTCGACCCATGCACGTGATGTAACGGATAAAGTCAACACCAAGGCTCGTTACTAGCATCCCCTTTTGAGTGATAAAAATGTCTCTTTATACGTAGGGTCAGTTTTTTGATAATGGGTAGCATCATTACAAGGCATCAATAAATGCTGTAACTCATCTAACCAAGCTAAGAAGTGCTCAAATCTTCGCCAGGACTGAGCTGGTCTCAAATTAAGTCTCACTTCGGTCTCATAGTTGTAGATAACTCCCTTTTATTGTTTATTCTTGCCTTCATCGTGATGTTGTACACGCTTAACATGCTCATTCTTTTGATGTTGCTACATCTTTATGATGCATTTTACAAAGGTTGCCCTGGCAACGATGCGTAATAACCCACGTGTATAGCTTCCCACGTGAGGACAAATGCTATATAGCAAAAGTGATTTCACCAATACCATACAGAAGCCTGGTATCCAAATAAAGGTGTTATCGCTTTCATCCTGTCATGTCGTTTAGCCAAAATCGCTGTATGCGAAAAAAAAAGTTGTAAGGCTTGCTCGGAGTTCTCATCCTTTGCCGGCAGGTACATTCAAAGTTGCTGATATCATTCTTTGTCAAGTAATGCCACCATGTGTACCAATAAAAAGCTATGAACGTTGCCTGTTGTGAGCACTCGTTATCTTAATAACTTAGGAAGAAGCCACCATAACCTATCGCGGACCTTGTTCACTCAAATGGGTTCATATTGTATCATCGAGAAAAACCTTCGTGAACCAGGCGTTATGAAAACTACATACGCTACTTTTCTTTTTTTGAGACCTATGTTGTTGATGAGGCAATTGATTACCAATTTGCGTTATTATTAGTGGTCATCATCATCACGCATGTCAGGGGCCCGCCCATCAAGAATAGTAAATAAGATGATGCATCAAATTATAGTGGTAGTGGTTTGCTGTTACCTGTTGGATGCAGAAAATAGAAAGTATTGCAGCACAGCCATCGGGCAAGAAGAAGAGAAGATGAAAGATGCTGCCTTTCAAAGGATGGTCAGCCGTGCCACAGATGAAAACGAAGCACCGTCATCGCCTCGTGAATAAGCTTGTACAACATACGCCATGTGCGTAACCTTTTGCATAGCAAAACTTAATTGAGTCCCCACTTGTATCAGAAAAGGATAAAGTTGACCCGGATAACTTGTCGCCGTTATAGGAGTGGTGATTGAGCATGCTACACAGTTACCTATTTCATCTCGTATTTGGGACAAAGTGGTTTCATCATCCCATAATGGGACTATAAATAACATCAATCATGTTCAGTGTTTTTTTGCTCAGCGTGATCTTTTTCATTCTCAATATTCTCGATGCGGACATTTGTTGCCGCTCAGTCCAACATTCAGCTTCCATATGTAACTAAACTTTGAATATTCTCATTCCATGACTTTTTCTACGTCAACCACTTGTACCCAATATCATAAAGGAAAATACCGGGTTGCCGTATTCTCTCATCTTTGCGTGTGTGTAGGTGTGCTACCCCTGAACCAAGGCATGCCAAACATACAAGAGGAGGGCATGCACCTTTTAATGATTTCAACAGCAAAAGCCTTGGGAAAACTATTGTACCTTGTTGAGTTTTATGCTATCGGTAGAAGAAAACAAAAAAATATTATGATTCAGGGTTAGTGCAACCTGTTATCCCGTTCTCACGAGCCGTCACCGAGAACACGGTACATGCTAACAGAATGTGGAATGGTGTAGTTGTGCATACATGCTTAATGCCCTGAATACAGAATACCGATAGAAGCAGCGGTAGCAGCTGCCATGGTAATCAAATATAGCATCAGCCATTGAGAACGGAGGAAGGAGTGCAAATGCATTATGACATTCATGCTTTAAAGACGGCATCAAGGCGGCATCTCATGTTGCTCCGCGTCACACACACATACGCATTCACAGAAAAAGGGGATGAAAAAGCATTGCAAACCGTTCTTCTTCTTCCAATCTCTCTTTGTCTTCCCCTTCTTTCCTTGTAAAAAGTACCCACCCACGCACACACAATGACAACTTCATTGGCACAAAGAACCAATTGCTATTTGTATTGCATTCGCTCCTTAGTCCTTGCTCTTGCTATTATCATTACATCCGCCAGCCTCTGCATTTACAGCACCAATACCCAATCCCTTTCTTCTTTATTCTCCAACCGCTATCACCATGCTGCCCCTATTCAACAAGCCTCATTTCATACTGACGACACGACAACAGCAACAACAACAAGCATCATGATCCAAATGATTCAAGACCGACGACTTATTTCCACCCTTGTGGCAGCGCAAGCTTCTATATTTTGTCCATTGTTCTTGTTGGTCAACCATAATAACAACAACAAAGCCGCTCAAGCTACTACTACTACTACTAAGGTGGTGCTCAGCATAGAGCAATTACTCTGTCAGTTGCTTATGCCAGCGGGTCTTGCTATCAGTTGGGTATTCAGCATCCTTTTTGATCTGAAAACTTTGTCAGTCATCAGCCACGATATCCCTTTGGTACCACGACTCTATCGGTTCTTGTCCCCGCAGACACAAGATATGTGCTTGTTCGATCGGAGTAGTAGTCAATATGCCCGACATCTTTGTGCTATCGTCAATGGTGTGCACTATCTTAAATATGCCATGATCTTTATCCTCATCTTGGACTTTGCATTGGTGCTCACAGCTGCTTTGGCTGCCTATTATGAAAAGGCCATTCAAGAACCAAAAGAGGGATCCATTCGACTTGTTGACGAGCAGGAACAAGCCTATCAAGTAGTCGTAGTAGCATCATCATCCGATAAACAACAACATGAGGGTGAGGATGAACAACAACGTATGGCTCTTTTCCATGCCCAAGCATTGGTATAAAACCATGCAATTCTATCCTAATTTGCATTCAACATTTCCCCCTGTATAATCAATCCAAACATCTTACAAGTGGACCTTGTCAACAACAATCCCCTTCTTTTTACTATTCTTCTTCATACCACCACACACCAAGCATCCGACAAAGCATCTTTGAATAACACACACGAAATAAAAGTCATTCACGCCGTGCGTTACTACTACAATGAAACATGCAATGTTGCAGTTCTTGTCATTAAGGAAGGAGGGGTGGTGTAATTCATTGTCACTGTTATCGTATTGTACAAAAGAGGAGAATGCTTTTATTTTAGTGTTGGCTCTAAAACGTGTGTACAATGGATGGCGGTGGAAGGTCACATGCGAGTTGATTTTCTAGTAATGCAAGTATCTTGCGATCGTTACCATCACTTGATCTGACAGATGCATTGTTGCCATCCAACTCAAAGTATGATAATGGTAGCATCCTTCGTCGTTCATCCACAGGGGTAATTGGGCTTGTTTCGGAAGTTCCTCCTCCTCCACCACCTCCAGTATTACAAGATGGAAAGTAGTAATGTTCTGCTGCGTATCCATGCCATGCTTCACGTGCTGTGGCAACATTGAGCTTGCGACGGATATCCAAACCGGCATTTCCTAAGCAACCAGGTCGCTTTCCAAATTGTTTGGGAGACCATACAGAACCGTGACGCACCCTCGGTTGTTGATAAGCTTGTTGACCACTAGTAGTGCTGATATGATTGTTGTGATAGATGGATGTAGTAGTAGTAGTCATGCGTCGTGTTGCTGAGCCCTTGAAAGCAAAATCCAATTCGCCAACGTCGTCATCATCATCATCATCATCTTCAATCGCAGGCGTTTGTCGAAAAATATCCACCAGCATTTGACGGCATGCATCGTATTTTGCATCAGACGTATCAATTCTCAAAGCATCTTCCTGATTTGGTGGAGGATCAAGTGAAATAGAGTGGATAAGGGTGATGGGTACTTGGATCACGTGCTCTTTCCTATCATTCAATGTCAATCCTTAATACGCTCTCATGCAACAGCAAGATGTTGATACAATCATACCTTATGTTTGCTGATACAATCGACAATCGAAGTGCATATGAAATGTGTATGAGCTTGCTGTTTTGTATTGAACATTGTCCTCTCTAGAAAGGCCATCAACAATAAGCTTTGATCAATATGCTGTTGCAGGCGTCATATATGTCACTATTCGACTTACAGGTGGTTGAATGACCATGATGGCTTGATCCTTTGTACCAGGTTCCAAGGGTAGCATCAATCCAAGCTTCTCGGCAGAAGATCGTGCAACGATAGTCGAACTGGAAGCAGCCAAACGTCGATCGGGCTCATCATCATCATACGTAAAAGTTTGCTGGTAGCGTAAGAGTTCAAGCGTGATATCCAATATCTTCTGACATGAGCCATTGGCAATGGTGACGCAAGTGTAGATGGGAGCGCAATTACTCCAAATGCTTCGAGAGAGTTCAAGATCGATCTTGATGCAGGAAGAAGAAGAAGAAGAGCATCGTGGTGGTGGATCGTGTCTGGTGGAGGAAGAAGAGCGACAGGCACAAAATGTTTCATGCACCGGAAGGTAAAGAAGCGCATTTGAAATAGCGCGTTGATTTGCATAAACCCGCACTGGCTCTTCAAACTCAACAATCTTGTCCTCCTCCTCTTGACAGCAATTTACGTCTAGTACACTTTCAATACATTTTGAGTTTATACCATTGTCTACTGGTTGTTATGTATAATGCCCTTACCCTCGAAGTGAATAATGCACAGCTGCCTTTCGATTACGATGACTACTTTCAAGATCCTCTGGCAATTGAAAAGAAAAGGATACAACCAGCTTATTAATACCACGCTTGATTCCTTGTTGATATACCGATAGCAGCTGCTCATGATCAAGGGATAAGACACATTGCTTCAAAAATGGATGATGATGGGTGCCTAATCCAAATGGACCTGATTCAGCAATGCCTATTCAAAAAGGGATCGTAATGAGTGACTTAAGAAGAGTGTGAATTTGTGTACTATAACATACGTTCGATGCCATGAAGCTCAAGAACGAGGCTTTTGAGTGGTAGCGTATGGGGATTAAGCACGTCAAATGTATTACACAAGGTCATATCGATTGCTACTGTCCCTGACATCACACTGCCTGCAACAACATGGGGCGTTTTAAGGAACACATTGATTTGCTTCTTGTTGAATTTGGATAACCACAAGTGCTTGCCACAGGATTTCTCCGAGGACAGCGCTGCAAGGCCTCGACTGATAGACGTGGTAGATGTGAGTCGTCGTAAGGCATCACTTAATCCTGATGTAGTGGTTGATGAAGAAATAGGCATATGAAAGTCACTTGTCGCCTCTGCTGCTGAAGATAATTCATATGCTGAATAGGTTGCACGTATATCTTTTGTTGTTGCCCTGTATTGGTCTTTTGTATCATAGGTAGTAGTGCAGCTACTTGTAGTAGTAGAGGGGGATACTCTTGTGGTCACAGCCGATTGGGAGGTTAGCAACTGCAGTCTCTTGACGGCGGTTTTACAAAAAGAGCGAATCCACGGATTGCGATCTGGTGTGGTATCTAAGGTGGTGTGTGGCGGTGGTGGTGGTGTGTTCATCATTCAAGATAGGATCGGCGGATAACATTCCTATATATCAAAATCCGATCCATCCCTTTTATAAGAAGCTGTTGGGAATGCGCCAAGGTGATATTATATATAAAAGCTGTAATAGTAGTAGTAGAATAATAAGCTGATTGAATCTCTTTAAGACACAGACCAAACAATAAGAGCATATGCAGGGTTGACAATAATGATAGCAGGTTTTCATGATAATACTAGTTGCCGGATTTTGGAAACAACCAGAGAGCATCTACTGCTGTTCTTCTCTCCCACTATGCATATGCAACTACAACGCATTCACATATCCATCATCATCATGTCATCATTTAAGATGCAGAGTGCCGATGCTTTATTCTTTGCATTATCCACGCTGATCCATAAATAAGCGCCGTTCTGACCAATTCGTAAACTAGCATCATGATAAAGAGCCAAAAGATGAACCATCCAATGATATTTCCGTGTACATCAAGCTTTTCTGGATGGCAGAATGTGCCTTGAAAACTGTACATGCCCTTGTTGTCGGTATAAAACATGTTAAAGTAAGGACCTAGGCCTGTCAATGGCATGAGCATGTCGTATTTGGGATTCGAATCAGGATAGGCGATGGGTCGTGTGCCTGCTGGATCCATGAGGAACGAAGTCTTGTGCGCTATGATAGCATCCATGACCCCTTGACGCGTGAAATTGGCAGCTTGTACAGTCAACCATGTGTTTGCGCCCATGGAAGGATGATGGACATCGGTACCCACCATCTGAATAAGGTTGTGAGCCACTGCTGCTTGATAGGTCGAATAATCAAATGTGCTGCCATGAACAACTTCAAATCCATCCACGCCCCAGCTGATAAGATCCTCCACCGATGGATGATTAGGGAGTCGTGCTTCCTCATAATAGCCCTCTAAAAAAGTGATAAATAAATCGACATCATTCATTGAACGTATACGCTTTACTTACGTGTAGCATTGCTCCAAGGGATGTGATTAACAATGACCAATCCTCCTAGTTCATGGACACGGCGAATGACATCTTGCAATTGTTCATCGGATGGAACAGGTGGCCCAATAGGAACGGATTCGTTGATGTTGATGAGATTCATGTGGATTCTGCAACACGTATACTCGATCCCAGGGATAACGACAATGCGATCCTTGTAGCGTTCATCATTCAATGCTAACTCCTCGGCCGCCAATCCTCCTTTGATGGTATTGTGATCCGTAACAATGACGGCATTGTATCCATTGGCTATGTATTTTCTTTGTCTTAGATCAAGTCATGCATGCATGCATGCATCAATCATTCATTCATTATCTTATTTACCCAAATGCCAATCCAATAATTGCTCCACATTCATTTTTCCATCGCTGTATGTTGAGTGAGAGTGACCATCCAAAAGCACGTTGTATGACCCAAACGTCGTGTTGAAAGGTGAAAGGAAGCTCCTCGGGTCAATTTGCCAATCGAACGTTAAATGGGTAAAGTCTTCAGCACGAGGCATGCCTTCGGTATACTGCAATCCGAGACCAAGTCCAATGAGCACACCAATAATGACAATGAGTGTTGCCAGTCGAATGGCAAGACCACTTAAATAAGGTCGACAACGCCTCAAGTAAGCATAACGACGTCGTGGTGTATCTTGAAAGGAATCTTGTCCACAAGTGGATGTATCACCTAACAAGGTCACGGATGGTGCTTTGACGATATCACTTTTGCTGCTGCCTGCATCCATGTGGTGAAGTATGGAAAGAGTCGATGATGACGATGATGATGATACTACATGGGAAGAAGAAGAAAAGCGGGAAACCAGCCTTGTGGCGTCTACCTCCCTCCCTCCCGAAGCTCCTCGGGTCAATTATTAATCGAATGTTATCGGGTAAAGTCTTCAGCACGAGGCATGCCTGGGTATACTGCATCCGGAGACCAAGTCCACGAGCACACCAATACTGACAATGAGTGTTGCCAGCCGAATGGCAAGACCACTTAAATAAGGTCGACAACGCCTCAAGTAAGCATAACGACGTCGTGGTGTATCTGAAAGGAATCTTGTCCACAAGTGGATGTATCGCCCAACAAGGTCACGGATGGTGCTTTGACGACACCATCAAGCTGCTGCCTGCATCCATGTGGTGAAGTATGGAAAGAGTCGATGATGACGATGATGATGATACTGGGTTATTGTGAAGAAGAAAAGCGGGAAACCAGCCTTATGGCGTCTACCTCCCTCCTCCCTCCCTCCTCCCTCCCTCCCTCCAAACCTTCCTCGCGCTGATCGATGCAAGCTTATATTCATGCAGCACATAGAAATACCCTCATGCATGCATGCATCCATTTCTTATTGACACGCCATAGCCCACTACTCGACTCATCGAAATAAAGAACCGTTTCCTATTTTTGTGCTTTGGATTCAATAGACGACGTATTTTTAGAAAAGAACGCTTTCACATGACCTTGCATGGTAGCCATTCACCCACACCAACCTATTTGCTCTGTTGCCCTTTCATCAAGCAGTGAGCATGATCTTTGAGCTCGAATCATATGCTTTGGCATGCCGCAAAGAAGAGTGGGCTCTCCCGGTTGTAAGTTGCTAGGCAACTACGACTTGCCTTTTCCGGATCGCACATGGCAACCTGGCCGTGTCAGCAAATCAAAAAGTGATATGATGAAAAAACGAGACGTGAAGGAGCACAATGATGGTTGACAACATCTTTTATGTGCGTGGCGGCTGTAGGCATTATTCCTATGATCACAAAAAGTGTGACGATGTGATGTTTGTTGGGACATCTTCACCAGCGATAAACCTAGAGAGCCTTGATGTAATGCATAAATTAGGATATGAAAGAGACGCTATGTAAATATCCATAACCAAACAATGACATCAATTGCTATCACAGATCATTTGTTGTACTTTAAGATGACGTTGCCCGAGGATGTTTGTATTCAGAAAGCTGGAAGTCGTTGCCATGTTCATCGATAAACGTAGTGCACACCTGATCGACCAATGCAGTATTGAAAAGAAGAAGGTTACCACAAGCACTTTTACCAATCTAGATAGCTTAGGTTACATCGGCTTAAGGAATCCCTTACATGCCATTTAGAGTTATCATGCAAAAGGTCTTCTCTTTGATGATTGTATTTGTCAATATTGCACATCAGATCCAATTTGTATGATAAATCCATTTTCACGTGCCATTGGCATCATAAAAGATGTCACGAATTGTATGCGTTTTGTCAAGGATTTCTTGCGGAGTACGCATGATGTATAGGATGGAAGCGAGCAGATAATAGAAGTAGTCTTATTCCACTTTATTCTTTCTAGAGTCATTCATATTTACATCGTACCAAGTGTGTGTGTGGGAGGGGTATTGCATTTAAGCTGTTCAGGTTGTTCGTAATGCTAAGGTAATGGATGGGACCGCACTAAATTATAAACAAGAAGCACTGTAACTAGGTAACGAGAAGAATGAATGGGTAGTCAAGTCAATGGAAAGGTAGCGGGCTAATGGAGGGGATTTGTCATATGAAATACCAAATTGTGGGGTACCACAAAAAAGATACCAGCTTACTATTTTGCATTCTGCTCTTTCTTTTGTACTCCATAATGCCATTCCTTCAGTCTCTTAAAGATTATGCAAAGCGACACCGAAAAGGCCTAATGGTCACTGCTGCTATTGGTGGTGGCAGTTATCTGCTCGGTCGTTATGCGACAGAAAAGCTACGCGATTTCCAAGAAAAGACAATGACAGAGCGTGTGGCAAAGGAAAAGTAAGTGGGTGGTAGTGGTGGTTGTGGTTGCCATGGAGGAGCTATATGGGCTAACCTACCAATTAGTCTCAAACGACGCTTTCAGCAAAACCAAAACGACTGCGTATTTACAGTACTCTCCTTGTTACCAACACTGGGCGATCAGATTTTGAACGAGATGAATATCGAAGCAGTCTGGGCCAAATTGCAAGAAGCACGTAAAGCTGAACGACTTGAGCAGAAACGGTTACGAGAACAAGCTGCCGCTGAAGCCGAAGCTGCCAAAGCTGCTGCCGAAGCTGCTGCTGCATCTACAACAACTACAGCGACCGAAGAAGAAGAGAATGAAAAGGAAAAGGAGAGTACAACAGCTACCAAAGAGCAAGACCAGCACGTGGATGAATCAAAAGAAAAGGGAGAGGATGCATCAACCCAAAAACCTTTGGATGAGAGCGTCAGCAGCCTTGGTGCATCTGTCGGCAGCCTTGGTACATCGATACAATCGGAAGGAGGATCATCACCAGTGACACCCGGTCTCTTGGATAAAGATGAGAAATACAAGTTATGGGAAGAGATCAAGATGAAGAGTAAGTGATGGGAAATAAGGGATCAAAATTGTTGCTGACAATGTACGTTAGGCTTTACGCGATCATTGACATCGATTTATTCTCTTACGCTCTTGACCTTGTTGACACATCTTCAGCTTAATTTACTGGGCAGATTCACCTATGTATGGTCCGTGTCAGTGTTGAATCGAAGCGAGCCAACTATTCGACTACAACATGCCGATGAAGAGCCAGAAGGCGGTTTCCTTGATCCACAAACAGAACGCATGTTCCTTAGTGCCAGCTGGTGGTTGCTTCATCGTGGTTGGAGACTTTGCGCAAAACGTGTCGAAGAAGCAGTAGAGGATGTGGTCAGCGGGTAAGGATCGCTTATAAACAACAACATGGTTCGCATCATACTAAAATTCTCAAATATGATAGCCTACCTTTGAAACGTATCCTTACGCATGAAGATGCTGAAAACCTGATTAGCAAGTTGCGACGACGTGTGGAATATGAGCGTGATGGCATCTCACCTGTGAGGTAGGCTGAACTTTGTGTGTGTGTGTGTATGTGCTTGTACCATAGGTGGTAATTAACCATTTCTCCAGCTGTCGATCATGGATGCTACCTGAGACGGATGAGGAAATCCAAGAGTTCTTGATGCAAGCAGGGTTCGCAGAGAAATACCCTGAGAACGAGGCAACTCTTCAACTGAAAAAGCTGCTGGATGAAACAAAGGATTATATTGATAGGTAATGGGAAATGAGAAAACCAGTATTATCTTTATTGACATGCTACTTTCTCGATCCTAGTCCTGATTTTACAGCTGTCCTTGGATCATGTCTCGATGAAGTCTTTGCAATCTTTGATCATCATGCATTTGCCAAGGCGCTTTTGCCAGGGGCTGGACCTATGGATCTTTCAGGACAACGCATTCAAGAAATCAATGATAATGAGGTTGTGGAAGTAACCAAAAAAGTGACACTTGCAAATCTACTACCTGCTATCGGTCGACAAGCTCATCTGGCAATTTCTGGCAATGAATACTTGAACGTAAGCAAACCGCGGGAGCGTGTGAGTGAGTGCGAAAAGGTAGATGACTGATTTGGATCAATAGGCATTTGCATACATCAAGGAGCTCCAAGCGTTCTCGGCAATGATTTACACACAATACGGCGAGGAAATTACTCAAGCTTGATCGTCTAATTTAACATTTTCAAGTCGCCCACCACCACCCTACTACACATGTACTTTTTAACCAAAAGCTTTCCCATATCATTCCTTGATAAAAGACCCACATTTAATGAAAGAAGAAATCCCATAGTCATGCCATGTATCCATTATCCAAATATGTGGCATTTAAAGTGAAGTAAGGCGTATTCATTTCAGGTACCACCACGTACGATATCGTCAGCATCGGCTGTCTCCGATGATTACGGTTGCGTAATGTAACATTGCAACAACGGTTGATATGGCTACCGTATAACGTCGCCATGGATACGCGTTGTCTCTAGAGCTAAAGAAAGACTTGACCTATGAACAAAAAAAAAACAATGATTGAATGCGCAACCAGCACATTGCTTCATCAAAATGTATCATGCATTAATGCTGCGCCACCCCATCCGGTTTTCGTGAAAATCGATGATGGTGTTCGGAGAGAGCATCATCATCCTTTGTGTGTCGACGTCTTTCCTCCAAGGTAAAGTATATACAGCCCGTTTCATCATTCACAACAGCCCTTTTTTTCCATTTTGATTTTTATATATGTAATATGAACACAGCACATACAACAATGACGAGATGGGCAACATGAACAACGTCTAGAGTGGGGTGTTTGGGTTGGGGATTGCACGTTATATATATACAAGTGTGGATTTGACTAGTTGAATGACGGTTGTTCCAGAAAGGTCAAGGGTGAAGGAAAGAAGGAAGGGGGGTCTCATCAATTGTGGGGGATGGCGGAAATGGAGAACAGGAGAGATGAGAGAGAGAGAGAGAGAGGAAGCCTTTAAGTAATAGTTGTGTGTGCCTTTTGGTTGATGCTCCGTTAGGTGCTTTTTCCACTTTCTTTCACTCACTCTTCCTCTTTACCCGTTATTTGTTCGTATCTAACCTAGTACTCACTCTCTTCTTTTTATACTAAAGTCGTTACAGCCTTTCAGGTAAAATGTCACTCATGGCTCTTGCACGCCGGGCTTGTTTCATCTGGTTACTCATGCAACACTCTACTCTTATGTCGTCTTAGAATGTCCGAAATCAGAAGGAAGCTTGTCATTGTTGGCGATGGTGCCTGTGGCAAAACCTGTCTGTTGATCGTCTTCTCCAAGGGCACTTTCCCTGAGGTAAGTTGCGCGCTTTACATGGATGTTTTTGTTAAGCATAAAGCGTCTCAACGAAGTATCTTCTACGTAGTTTTATGTCCCCACCGTCTTTGAGAACTACGTCGCTGATGTTGAGGTGGACGGCAAACATGTTGAGTTGGCTTTGTGGGATACTGCTGGTAAGTGGGGGGATGATGATGCATTGATTTATAGGAAGGGGAGAATTCACCTTTATGTATCTATTCAGGCCAAGAGGATTACGATCGTCTTCGTCCCTTGTCTTATCCCGATTCTCATGTTATCTTGATTTGCTTTGCTGTTGATTCGCCTGATTCTTTGGAAAACGTCCAAGAAAAGGTACGTTACATCAAGGATCCCCCATGATTTGAATACTGAACGTTTGCCCTATAGTGGATCTCAGAAGTAGTCCATTTCTGCCAAGGCTTGCCCATCTTGCTTGTCGGATGTAAGAAGGATTTGCGAAATGATCCTGCGACAATTGAGGAGCTCAGAAAGAACTCCCAGCGCCCCGTCTCATTTGAAGAGGTAATAATACTCATCATCATTACAATGCTGTAGCTTGATTAACATCCATTTTGGATATAGGGTGCTAGTGTGTCCCAACGTATCAATGCCTACAAATATCTCGAGTGCTCCGCAAAGAGTGGTGAAGGTGTTCGTGAAGTATTTGAGCATGCCACTAGAGCCGCTCTCATGGTCAACCGAAAGAAGAAATCCAAGCTTTGCGTTGTTCTGTAGACAGCTCGTCGTCTTGTAGTAGCTCGTTAACTCTCTTCTCTTCTCTTCACACACACACACACACACCTAACCCCAACCCCTCCCAAACACTTTCACTCTCCTTTTGTGCCACTCTTAATTCTTCAGAATTCTTTCTTTACCACCTTTCGTCTTTCATATTTCTATTCTTTTTCTTCGTGTCCACTCATCACCCCGGGATGTGTTGCTTTTCTCGGTCACTCTCTTATCTCTATTATCCTTTTGCATGATCATCGAAAGAGTTTGCTTTGGACACACCATCCATTGATTGTTGTTTCTTATTGTTGATTGTGGGACAAATCATGATTATGCATCGTTGTGGGATTGGGTTGGGAGTCATTAGAAAGGGATTAGGGTGGTTCATGTAATCGCGACAACGTATAATCTCAATGAGACCTGGCATGTGTGTTTTTGTATATCCATCTTTTTATTTTGTAAGCATTCTATCCTAAAACCAATAGCTAAAACAAGGAAGAGTACCTGATTGATAAAAGATGTGTTAGCGATCATGCGTAAACAAAACGATAAGGAATGCGTGTTTACATAGCCGTCAGGCTCATTAATTCAGTATTTTTTTTGCTCACATACTGTGATTCGAGCAGAAGATTATGCATCCTTCGGATATGCAAACACGCAATGAGCATGGATAGCATTCTTACCTTGTAGTAAATGAAAAAACCAGAGAAAGGATACACGAGAATAAATTTTCGCCATGGCGAACATTTATACTAGCGTTTGGTGGCTTGGCAGCAGCATTGAGAAAGCGGGTTATCTGACTTTGTGTGATTGATATCCACAAATGGGCTTGCATCAACTTGACACCATCAACGCATAAATGAGCACTCTCGACAATGAAAACACAATGATTCCCCCCCCCCCTTATTCATTATTAAGCAAACCAAAGTCAATGGTTGATACAGCTGATGCTGCGCCATGTTTACTAGAAGCAAATGTAGGTCACATCTCTCAAACGACAATAGTAAATATCACGTCTTTATTCAATCTATGACATCGTCTATGTGCTAGATGAACTCTTAGAGATCGGTAGCAGTAGGCATGTAGGTACAATGAATGTTCTCTGGTGGAGGAGAGTTGCATTGGGTGTTGGAAGACAATGATAATTCCCGTGCAGTGTGTATCTCAGCCTCTCTCTTCACTTGTTCACCACCACTATGGATAATACCGAATCACGCAAACGACCTGCATCGGAAATGAGCGACAAGGATGAGAACAGCAACAAGCGACCTCATATACCCGAGAGACGTGAAACTACCATCTTTGGCATCAAACCAGTCGACGACATTGTACAATACGTGGCCGATTTTATAGCAACCCATTGCGATCAGGAGAATGTCGAAGTCAGTGCCCTCTCCTCATCCCCATTCCATATGTGGCACTCGTGTCGATGTTGACTTTTTGCACTTTTGCACAGATCGAAGGAAAGCTGGGCCTGTTGATAGACAAGCAAACTCGACGACGGATCAATATGAATGCGGTGACTGAGACAGGTAGGTAGGAGAAGGAGGATGCTGTCGATACGCGATAATGATGATGGCTGATGATGTTTTGGTTGCCATAGTAATTGGTGCTGGACTGGAAGGCCGAGTACGATTTGAATCCAATATGCCATTAGCTCAGCACAAGCATTTCAATGAGATGCTCAATGCGCTTGTGACCAAGTCTAATGCACGTGGCTATCGGGGTGAGCGAATTCATTACAAGCACACATATGAAACGGATCGGTTTTATCATCCAAACAACAATGCAAGAACCAAATGGCGTGTTACTACAAATCAGCAAACAGGACAAGTAGGTGTCAAAATCCTCCTCCCCAAAACGATTCAACATGGTCAGGGTTGCTTATAGTGAACATTTGATAGCTTGTGGAAAATGGCATCATTGAAAAGATACGCGTGGCCGATCTCAACATTCATGCACCTACACAACCACTGGACTATAGAATATCAATCAACCTCGAAATCCCACGTAAGTAGAGAGAGAGAGAGAGAAAGAGAGAGAGGGTCGCCGTAGCTTTCAACCACTCTACTCACACACACACGCACACACGCTCTCACAGGCCCCAAACCCACCGGCAATCCTGTCTTTGAACGAAACAAGGATCGCGTTTCTTATAAACATGGAGGAATACATTTTGATCTTACACAGGTCAAAGGTGCAGCGGTACGTGTGTTTATTTGACAATTGGGATATGATGACATGAGAATAACAAGTCAAATGCAATATAGGACAAGGATCCCGATGTGCGTCACGAGCTTGAATTAGAGATTATGGATCCAGCACAGCTTGCAAGAGAAAGGTCGAAAATGGCCAGAGGAGAACCATCGCATTATTTGGATACCATTGAATCATTTGTAAACAACATACGCATTTTATCGAGGAAAGCACTCAAGATCCCACATAATACATAAGAATAAACTGCTACTATGTTTGGGTATTGGATTTATCTACCTCGTGGAGAGTGGACTCTTGTTGAGATGGCAACCTTTTCATGTTGCTATGATACTGGGTCAGCGTCATTTATGCATTCAAATACAATTCCTTATGCAGTCAAATGCTACCCGAATTTCCTTTTGCTGTTTTCTTTTAACTCATGTACCGATCGATGCATCGCATACCTCTGTTCAGGAGGCGACGTCCACTATCGACATTGGCTACGGCAGGACTCATTGTGACAGGCGTACCAGCTGGTCTATATCTTTACAAGGTGTGTGTGTGTGCGTGTGTGTAGTGTCATTCATGGAGTTGGCTCATTTGTAACTTTTTTCTTTGCAGTGTCTGATGCTCGTGTTGTTCCAAAACAAGCTTATCTATTTGGGGTATATACCACCTGGTTCGAGGCATGAACGCTTTACGTTTGACAAGTCGTTATCTGGGTTGGATATCAAGGAGGAAACAGTATGGACAAGTGATAGGAAGCAGCTTCATGGTTTGACAGTCAAGAAACAAGATGCAAATGATCGTCATGAGGGACCCATCCTCGTCTACTTGCAAGGCAATGCAGGCAACATGAATCATCGATTACCCTTGTTCAAAACGATCCTAGCTGCTGTGCCATCATTGACGATCGTTGGTGTTTGCTATCGAGGCTTTGGAAGCAGTAGCGGAAGAGCTACCGAGAAAGGATTACGGATCGATGCACGTGCCATGTTTCAACACGTTCAATGCAACCATGGTGGAGGAGGATTGGATCGACCCATCTTTATTTATGGCCATAGCTTGGGTGGTGCCGTAGCCATTGACCTTGTCAGCCGATTGGAAAAGGAAGGCAAAGGAAACTTGGTCAAAGGATTGATTGTGGAGAACACTTATACAAGCATTCTTGATATGGTCCAAGCCATGTATCCTCGCTACACGCCATACCCGCTTATTGCACGTTATTTCTTATGGAATCATTGGCCCAGTCTCAAACGCATTCAAGATGTTCGTACAACCCCAGTGCTCTTTTTATCTTCCAGCAAAGATGAGATTGTCCCTCGTGAACATATGCAAGCCCTTTATGATGCTGCTAATCCACAAAAGCGTTCCATCACCCACTTTTCACGCTCCACACACATGGATATGTATACAATTGAGACAAATCGGTTTCAGCTTACGCTTGCTGAATTTATAAAGAGTTGCAATAATGGTTGATCAAAAAGGATTGTTGTCATTGGTGGTGATGGTGGTGTCTATAATTGTTGAGCTTGTGTATATATATATGTGGGTGTGTGGTATTTAGAGCTTGGCAGGTTGCGATCCCATCAATCCATTTTGTCGCAAAATCGCCTCGATTTCCGGCAAGACCGTCTCATCTTCAATGGTTGCAGGGACACGTACAGGTTTGCCATCCACCATATCACGAATACAACGACGTAATGTTTTTCCACTGCGAGTCTTGGGTAGTCGTTGGACATAGATGGCTCGTTCAAAACAGGCAATGGCACCGAGATCTCGGCGAGTAGCAGCCACAAGATCCCGTGTAATCTTTTCCTTGTCAAAGTTTTGTCCCGGCTTAAGAACAACGGCGGCAAGAGGTACATGTCCCTTTAGCTTGTCAGGTAGTGGCACCACACAACATTCGACCACAGCTTCATGGGCATTGATGATTTGTTCAATGGATCCTACGTATCATTGTTGTCAGCATCTTTAGCCTTTTCCTTATCACCCTCTTACCTGTTGATAAGCGATGTCCTGCAATATTGATAATATCATCTGTTCTTGCCATGATGTGCACAAAGCTACATTTTTTGGGGTTAATAACATCCCATTTACATTGCTTGTAGTAGTAACATTACCCTTCCTCGTCAATGATGCCGGCATCACCTGTATCAAAGTATCCCGGGAAACGTGTAAAATAACTCTTTTTGTATCCATCTCGATTTTTCCACAATGAAGGAAATGCAGCAGGCGGCAAAGGAAGCTTAAGAACAATATCACCAAAATGATTAGGTGTGTGAACTTCTTGGTGTGTGTCTTCATCAAGGATGCGTATGATGGATCCAGGAACTTGTTTTCCTGCTGCTCCCCATTTGATGGGCACGGAGGTATTGCTGTTACGCGCTGCACCCACACAACTTGCTGTCACCGGTGATCCAAGTTCTGTTGTCCAATAGTGATCAATGACGTGTGCATGATGAAGCACTTGTTTGCACCAACGCAATGTTTCAGGATCGCTACGTTCGCCAGCAAGGAACAAAACATTGAGACTGCTAAGGTCGTAACGTTTCGAGCAAAGAGCATCTGGATCTTCACGACGAATAGCACGCACAGCAGTGGGTGCAGTGAACATGGTATTGACTTTGTAATCGGATATGATGCGCCAAAAGGCACCCGCATCAGGCGTGTTGACGGGTTTGCCCTCATAAAAGACTGAAGTGACACCTGCCATCATAGGTCCATAGATGGTGTAGCTGTGTGACACTGCCCATCCAATATCACTTGCTGTAAAAATGACATCGCCTTTACGTACATTGTAAATGTATTCCATGGACCACTTTAATACCACAGCATGTCCACCATTGGATCGCACGACTCCCTTAGGAACTCCCGTTGTACCACTTGTGTATAATCTAAATTTGCATGTAAGTATGTATATGCACACTTCTCCTATCCCACCATCACTACTACTTACGTATATAAAGGATCCTCGCTATCCACCTCAACACATGCTTCAAAAGCACGACCTTCTTGACGTACACGTTTCATTTCAACATGATAATCACGATCGCCCTTGTTGTAATCCATGTCGGCTTGTACCTTGCCAGGTCGCTGCAGTACCACCTTGATCGGCACTTTGTGTGTTGCCATTGCACAAGCGGCGTCCACGAGTGCTGCATAATATAAATACACAACCGAAATTAGCGTCCTTTTTTTTATCCACTGCTCTGGGTACATCAATGTCACTTTTTTATACATACGTTTATATGGGATCACACGCGTTGGTTCAATACCACAACTTGCTGTTACCAACACCTTGGGTTGTGCGTCTTGGATACGTTTGGCCAACTCTTTTGGAGCAAATCCACCTATGATACATGCATGGTCAATCACATGGTATTGCTTATGAAAGAGCTTTTTTTTCCTTACCAAATACTACGCTGTGCACCGCACCAAGCCGAGCACATGCAAGCATGCAAAACGCAGCTTCGGGTACCATCGGCATATAAATCAACACCGTGTCACCTTTGCGTACCCCATAATCATCGTGGAGCAATCCAGCCAAGTGAACCACCTCATCACGTATATCACCGTACGTGTATTGACGCTTTGTTCCAGATACTGGCGAATCATAAATCAGAGCCACTTGGTTTTGATCTTGGCGGTCAATGCAGTTGTAACAAGTATTGAGCGTGCCTCCTGGAAACCACACATAGGGATTATGGTCGTTATCAGCACCCACTCTTTTCTCCATCACTGCGCGTGGTCGCTTGATCCATGTAATGTCGTCAGCAGCCTTGCTCCACATGGCAACATCAATCAACTTTTCGATAGGTTCTTCCATGGCTTGCTGCATATTGAGTAGTAGTAGTAGGCGTGTTGTGTTGTTTGTGTGAAAAAGGATACTCTAAATAGGGGGGAACAGGTAAAGTGGTTTATATATGAGGGTCCAAGCGGGGGTTGTGTGGGAAGGGTAACGAGCCAAATTATAATAGTGTAGCATTTTGCGGGGTGGTCGTGGGAATGAAGAACAGCCTTTTTTATGCTGGTTCCTGCATATGCTTATTTGAGTATCCTTCCTTATACAACATGCCAAAATGATGATTGCTTTGCTCTTTTTTTATTTTACGTAGGTTGTTCTTGTATATGGTTTTACTTTGGAGGGCTAACAAAGGTTTAAAAATAAGAGTGTTAGTAAAAAGAGAAAGAATAGGTGGTGGCACATGCATACAACAACACATGAATGTGCTGAGGATAAAATGACACTTACTTGTACACAATCTTTCTCGTCTTGATGGGGGACCATTTGAAGCGCTTCAACCAAAGCGACAACAAAGTAAGACCGGAGAGAATGATCGTTGCCTTCATACCCATCTTTTTACGTTCATCATGCTCAGGTTCAGCAGCCCATGCCAAAAAGGTGGAAACATCCTTGGCCATCTGTGAGGTAGTGGCGGGTGTACCATCTTCATATTCAACAACTTCGTCAAACAAGACACGAGCCATGGCAATAGCACCACCAGGGAAGTAAGGGTTGTAGTTCATGCCTTCACGGACTTCGACACCGCCAGGAGGATCCATATAACCCGTCAAAATCGAAAAGACGTAGTCCTTTGATGATAATAATATCAGCCATCTTGTTGTTTGCCACCTTTTTCTTCCTTATGGATGTGTACTTTACCTCACCACCATGACGAGCCTTTGTGATCAAAGAAAGATCTGGGGGCAAAGAACCAGCATTACCAGCACGAGCAGCTTCCTCGTTGGGATAAGGTTTGGGCATATAATCGGAAGGCTAATGAATGGCATACGTATGAGTCTTGTCATCATCATCCTTCATCCATTGTAGAGAAGTATAAATATACCTTGCCAGGACGCATAAACATCTCGCCATTCTCATCAGGACCATCTTCATATTCAACTTCTTCAGCCATGGCCTTGACCTCTTCTTCAGTGTGAGAGACGCCAATCAAGTTTCTCCAAGCAATGCGATCAAGGGAATGGCAAGCGGAGCACACTTCTCGATAAACTTGATAACCACGACGAATGCTGTCTCATGGGAGTTATTATCATCATTGGTGGCTGATTTGGATGAGTTGATATACATACGATGCGTGATCATAGGTGCTCAAAGGACCACTGTGTGGCCAAGGATAGGATGGAGGATGAAGACCTTCATCGGCCATGTTGGCAGAGATATCGCTATCGACATACATGTACGCAAGACCAGTGGCACCTACAATACCAGCTGTGACAGCTGCAACCTGCTTTGGGTTCTGTGATAAACGATAGGTGTTGGTAACGTTGTATTCTTTTTGTTCGTATGGTGAATACACCTACTTGAGTGACAGCAGGCTTGGTGGAAGCAAAGCGTGTCTATTATATATGCATGGTCATGGTCGCGATTGGTGGAGTGAGTTGTTGTTGGTTGTTGACAATGTTGGCGAAAAAGGTGTATTCATTTACCTGCACAACGGGCTTGACAGCCTGTTGAACAGAGCGTTTCGTTGCAGGCGCGATCCGAGACAACATTGGGATAGAGTAGGGAGTGTAATATAGAGTTGTTGGCCTTGGAGTAAAAACAAGCGGACGACGGCGGGGCGGGTTTATCTTGACAAGGTCGTTCGTTGGCTGGGTTGACTTGTATTTTGACGACTGGTAAACGCCCTCCTACTACGCGTGACGTAAACGTAGCCATTGGTCAAATTCCATATATTCAGGAACATCATCACACACACACTTGGATCTATGTATACGTGCACAATTGAAATTATATATAAAAAAAGGGTGGGGGGAAATGGAATAAACTACATGTTTGGGAAAGAGGTTGTTTCTACTACTACTACTACTCTGTGCCATCTTCACTCGATCGCATCATATATTCGGAGGGTCGTCGTGCTTTGATATTAGAGAATTGCATTGGACTACCGGATCGGATACTTGATGTTGGCGATGCAGGTTGACTACCAATACCAGAGTCGCGTGTATTACCAGAGGATGGAATCGTTGAGCTGTAAGAAGGTGGCGGGTTCAATAATGGCGTTACCAAGGAACGACAAGACTGCAATCTCGCTTCCAAACTCTGAAATCACATGCCATTATTAATAACACTTTCTTCTCTCTTGCATAACAACATTCAAACTTACCCTCACACGGCTAACCATATCTTGCACCATCTTGACAGGATTCGAATTGGTAGAAGCCAAGCCATTCATGTTGCCACCCACACTGGGTGTACGGGGTATACGGGTACGGCGATCATATAAAGTGCTGCCACGATCAGGGGTTGAAGAGCGTGAAGTGGTTCCTTGTTGTTGTTGCTGTTGAGCTTGCTGTTGTTGTGCTTGTTGTTCCAAAGTATTGCACCTTTTCTCAGAGGCGTGGAGTTTTCCTTCCAAATCATGGATGGTATCACTTTGCTTAGAGCTCTTTTGACGTAGAACGGATAACTCATGGTTGACATCTATCGCATGCATTAGCCTGCTGCTTTGTTTTGAGGGACATCCACACATCCTACTTGCCATTGAGTTCATCTTTGAAACGTTGTACTTGTTCTGTGAGCTGATCCTTGGCTGCAATCTCGTTCTCTATCAATCTAAATTAGAGATCATGATCGTCATTTGAGTAAGTGACTCTCTCTTTACCCAAAATAACATTGCGCTCAATGGCCTTATTCAACTTGACTTCTAGATCCGAAAGCGATGATGAAGCCGCTCTAATATGAAAAGAAAAGGATCATTATAAGAAAGATGTAGTCATCCCCACACTTTACTTTACCTCTCAGTACGTTCCAAATCATCATTGTCTAGTTCCAATTCCAAGATCTTCCTTCGAAACATTTCTTCTGTTGCCCTGAGGATATCAATCTCCCGCTGCATTTGCATCATGCTCATGTTTTGTTCATGCTTGGCTTGCGTGTATTTGGACTAGAGACGAGCATCAGCATCACCACACATATAAACGATGAATATCAGGAAAAAGAGGTGTTTTACCTTCCAATCGTCGGCCTCATATTTAAAGTGTTCACAACGTGCCTTCAGGTCCTTGTATGCCTTTTCTGTAGTTTGAAGCTCCTTTTCTAGTTCTTCTTCCAATTCGCGTGATGACACTTGGAATTCGTCTAGGGCTGCACGAGTCTCTTGCAATGTCGCCTCGAGATTTTCTGCATGCGATCGATAGTATTCTAGTTCCTCTTGTTGAGAGTTGAATTGCCTATATAGAAATAGCACACCCTATTAGTATGCTTTACAATTGGAATGAATAAAGCAAGTTACATGATGCGTGACGATGCAGAAGACAAGTCAACGGCCATTATGAAAGAAAAGGAAAAAAAAGAGAGAGATAGAGAGAAAGAGGGTACAAGTGTATGCCACTTTCGTCAGTCGTGAATTCAAAGCGGGGCTTTCTTTTATACCCCATCGTGATGGTGGTACACACCCACACCCACACCCACATACAAACAGAATTTCATCCGACAAAGATGGTGGTGTCATTGTTCAGTAAGAAAAAAGAAGAATGCAATGTACAATAATAAAACAGAGGTGCGGGAGAGACAAGGTCGCTATAATTGGGGATCTATATTGGTGTGCGATCGATCACTTAGGCACTGCCTCGGATCTTGTTAAGGCTATCAGTAACAGCCTGCATGAATTCGGCGGTGGTAACATAGTGTTCAGGGCGCATGCTATTAACATCCATATTAGCCATCATCATCATCATCATCAAAACACAAAGAACCATGTGAACTTACTCCTTGCCATGGATGGCAAGAGCCAAATCCTTGGTCATAATGTTGTTGTTTTCTACAGTGCCGACACATGCTTGCTCCAAGTTACGGCTGAAAGCTGCAAGTTGTTCGTTGTTATCGAGACGAGCACGGTGAGACAAACCACGCGACCAAGCAAAGATGGAAGCAATGGGATTGGTCGAGGTGGGGTTACCCTAATGGACTCATTGTTCAATATCCTTACGTAACAATGACCATGGCTCATTTTTCTTTACCTTTTGATGTTCACGATAATGACGAGTGACGGTACCATGAGCAGCTTCAGCTTCCAAGGTCTTTCCATCAGGGGTGACAAGAACCGAGGTCATGAGACCAAGGGAACCATAACCCTGAGCAAGGATATCGGATTGCACATCACCATCATAGTTCTTGCAGGCCCAGACAAAACCACCCTTGGATTTCAATGCTTGTGCAACCATGTCGTCGATCAAACGGTGCTCGTACCACAAGTTTTGGCCCTCGAATTCCTTGCGATAATCCTTCTCGTAGATCTCTTGGAAGATGTCCTTGAAACGACCATCGTACTTTTTCAAAATGGTGTTCTTGGTGCTGAGATAAAGAGGCATCTTCTTGGAAAGAGCCATTTGGAAACAGCTGTGAGCAAAGCCAGTGATAGAGTCATCGGTGTTGTACATGGCCATGCCGACACCACCATTCTCGGGGAAATCAAACACAGTCCACTTTTGAGGAGCACTACCATCAGCAGGAGTAAAGGACATTTCAAATTTGCCCGCCTTGTCAGCAACAAAATCAGTAGCACGGTACTATTATTCACTTGGATTAGCATCATCATCATCTACCATCTCTTTGAAGAGTCCTTGTCTCACCTGATCACCAAAAGCATGACGACCAATGATAATAGGTTCCTTCCAACCAGGCACAATACGAGGAATATTCTTCATCAAGATGGGTTCACGGAACACAGTACCATTCAAGATGTTACGGATAGTGCCATTAGGTGAGCGCCACATCTTCTTCAATCCAAATTCTTAATAGAGTGCCATACGTCAGCCACGTTGTGTCCCATTGTTTCCCACGACTCATTTTTCCATCTTCCCATACCTTCGACGCGAGCTTCATCAGGAGTAATAGTAGCACACTTGATACCAACATTGTACTTTTTGATGGCTTCGGCAGCATCGATGGTGACTTGATCATCGGTCTATAATATGGACCCAACATGTTAATAAAACATTACTACTACAACTACAAGATGCACCCATAGCATGAGAAAACTTACATCATCACGATGCTTCATGCCAAGGTCATAGTATTTGATATCGACATCGACGTTGGGGAGAATGAGCTTTTCCTTGATATCTTGCCAAATGATACGGGTCATTTCATCACCATCCAAGTCAACCACGGGGTTAGCGACCTTGATACGCGAGCCGGTCGAGTAATGAGCCTTAAGGGCGACAGCAGCAGTGGTGCCCGAAGTGCGCAATGCAGCACTCTTGGAAATGGTAGGGACAATGAAGGACATTTTGGTAATGTGAAAGGGAAGAAAGAGATAACCAACTCGGCAACGAGACCAAAAAATCTTGCTCGGTGAACGGTAATTCATCTTCCGCACAAGCGTGTCATCTATGACACACCCCAATTGATCTATCAATTGGTTGTGGCCCCCCTCCCCACCATCGGCATGACGCACTCACTCATTACTCACACCCCACCCTTGCATGGGATGACTTTGGATCTCTCTTTTCTTTACTTTTTATTGTGTTCTTTCAAAGATGAACCTTCTTGCATTGTTGTTTATGCGAGTTGCTGCTGAAGATGTACACAAATAAATTGGTCACGAGATTGGCTACGTATATAAATGACCCCCACACATGCTATGAACACCACTATACAGCTCTACACAATCCACCACTACCATAATCAAGGCAATGATGAGTGTTGATGATAACTCTAAATCGACCGTTATCATCATTGTATCACCTAATAATGCAATCTGTCAAATTTGGTTCATGCATGATGATGACATTGGTGCAGCAGACAACAAAATCCTTTTTGAAACAATGATAAAGTGAGATTTGGGTTGGCTATGAACAAGCCCAGCGATCGGGTGGAATTCATGCAGCCTATCTTTTGAGGGGCAATGAAACCTTGTAGTCGACGTCATGCACATACTCTTTATATGTTGTCGTTGTCGGGATGTGGAAATGATTACATTATCATGTGCAAGTGAAGAGCCGTTCACCATGTCGGGGATGCCCGTGATCCTCCTCAAGATCCGAATACCTCCGTACATTTCTTTCACTTCTTCATGATCCAGACAATACATACTCAATTGAAAAGGTACACAATAGAGGTATCCATAACATCTGGATGTGTGTATGTGTGTGTGTGGTGGGATCATCACACCACCTGATGGCTGTTTTACCACAACCCAACCCATTGACAATGATGTTGCATAAACACACGGGCATACTCGGAAAATCGTAGTATTCTGAAAGACCTGGAATTCGATAAGAGATAATGCTCCCAACCGGATATTATTCCGTTTGATCGATTAAAGATCAGAGTGATGTGCGTGTGAGTTGAAAGAATAATAGGATCATTGTATAGCCTAAGAAGATGATTTGTATACCCAGCAATGAAAGGACTAGTGTAAGCAAACGTCGAATCTTGGTATTGCTATTGTGTGTAGTACTATATAGGTGTCTCATGTCGCCATCCAAACAAAGTAGTTTTCTCGATTTTATGCAACATCCATAGTGTGGGGAATTATTCTACCTTGGCAAATTTCTTGCATTCAATGTCCCTCCACCACCATGTTGGTAGTCATTATAAGCACCCTCACTCATCAAGGTACAAGCTTATACAATCATGGCCCCCCCTATACCCGATATGTAATGATGGGAGCAATGGCGAAAAAACGTACACGCTATGTGGCTACGCTGATGCTGCTGGACCAATGCATTAATTGTTGATCCCGAAATCCAGCGGGGTGAAAGGCTGTGCTACCCATTTCCTCCCAGCCAAAATGTTTTGCCCGAAGCATAGCGGATGATACCGCTATCTCAAACCAAATTTTTATTAGGCATTCTTCTTGTTCAATTGCATTTCTTTCTCCTTGACTTGATTTATATACCATGTCTTCATTCGATAAACAAGTACGCCATTTCCTTGAGGAGGGAGGATGGGACATCATTATTATCATCATCATGCATAGATCAATTCATAATCAATCATCATCATCATAGTCTGCCTTTCGTTCATTTGCCTCGCAAGCAAGCAGCACCTTTATCCCTGTGGCAGCCAACATTGATCAAAAGACTGTAATAGACGATGACAACAACAATAGTGAACATGAAATTAATGCATTCTCTATGCACAGATCTCTCCCAAAAAGTACGCAGGACGCTACACAGTGACATTGATCCCTGGTGATGGCATTGGTCCCGATATTAGCGAATCCTTGAAAAAGGTGTTTGAAGCGCTTAATGTGCCCGTAGACTTTGAGCAATACAACTTGTCGGGTGTGCACCATGACGAAGGTGATAATGATGAACTTTTACAAGAAGCACTCGCATCGCTGCGTCGCAATAAAATTGGCATCAAGGGTCCTCTTTACACGCAAACATCACTCACCGAACCAGAATCCATGGGCGTCACCATGCGTAAGGATCTCGACATGTACGCATCATTATCATTGTGCAAAAACATCCCTGGCGTCGATACTCGCATGAAAAACGTGGATTTTGCCATCATCCGTGAAAACACCGAAGGTGAATACTCGGGCCTTGAACATCAGGTATAATGAAAAAGAAGCACGTTGCTATGGAAACCCCTCCCCACTCATGGATCATAATTTACATCATAGTCGGTCCCTGGCGTTGTCGAATCCCTCAAAATCATCACACGTGCAGGTGCTGAGCGTATTGCACGCTTTGCATTTGACTATGCCTTGAAGAACAATCGCAAAAAGGTGACCATTATCCACAAAGCCAACATCATGTATGTACACAGCCTCGTTACTTCTCTTGTTTATTGATGGCAGCATCCTTTAGGAAATTGGCAGATGGTCTTTTCTTGCGTACATGTCGCGAGGTGGCCAAAGAATACGAGTTGCATGGTATCACGTGCAATGATATGATTGTTGACAATGGTAAGTAATTTTAAAGTCCCGCCGTTCTTGATACATGTAGTATTAACCTTTTCAACAGCTTCTATGCAGTTGGTATCACGTCCTCAGCAATTTGATGTCATGGTTATGCCAAATCTTTATGGAAGCATTGTATCCAATATTGTGAGTGGATGATGACAGCCATGTTGTATGTATGTGTTTCTTACTCACATGATGTTATTGTATGTAAGGGTGCTGGTTTGATTGGAGGACCTGGTTTAGTTCCCGGCTGCACCATCGGCCGCGAGTATGCACTTTTCGAATTGGTAAGATGCGTTGATAGTGGAACTGGTGATCAAAACGATTACTAACGTCAAGATCTACATACACTAGGGATGTCGCCAAGTGGGATTGGAGTTACAAAACAAGAATGTTGCCAACCCAACGGCCATGCTCCTTTCTGCTGTCATGATGCTACGTCATTTGAACCTGAACGAGTATGCTGATAGTATTTCTAATGCCGTACATCGCACCATTGAAACCGGCAAGGTAAGTCATTTTTAATACCACACAAGGATAGTGGTGGTTTTGACATGTGCAACCCATACATAGGTCAAAACCAAGGATCTTGGTGGTAATAGCACAACCGAAGAATTCACTGCTGCCGTTATTGCCAACCTGTAAATATTGTATCCCCCTCCCTCTCCACCCCTCGTGCATACATAGGTAGTGTATGTGTAGTAGACCTTGACAACAAAGTTTTCTTTCATTCCAAAAAACATCATCACTATCATTATCATTATCTACACACCAGGTGTGACATCCAAAGCCCAATTCTCTTGCCCTTCTACTGAATCGTAATCATCGAATTCGGGGAAGGAATAATACGTCCTTTGGAAATCTGACAAGGAGCTCAACAATAGACCTTCTTGACCACCACATGTCTCCGTGAGAATGGTACTCGTTCTCTTTTTGCATTTGCTGTTCTTTTGTTTTCCTGAAAGCCATGTTGTAACATCTGCCCAAAAGGTGGTCCAGGTAGCAGCAGTGTGCTGTTGATGGTGATGGTGATGATGATGCTGGTAGTGTCTGGTGTTTGCACCGCTATCCATACGGAAACCAGATGACAAGAGGAGCATGGCCAGCCAAGCAAACGTGGATATTAAGGAACGGAAGGGTGATGGAGTATGTTGGTGATGAAAAAGGAAAAAGAAAGAAAGGGCGAGAGAAAAGGATGGTAAAAAGGAAAAGAAAGAATAATGAAATGACATTGGATTCTGCTCGATACATAACAAGTGGAATGCGTTTAGAAAGGGATAATGGCTCTTTGGCATGCTTGCATTCCCTCACTCCTTTTTGATTGGCTCTTTCCTTAACCTTGTCAGCTACAGGTTTACATTAATGTGTTTGTTTATGTATGCGACCTGAAAATGTACAACAGAAAAGAAAACAGAAAACAAGTCTTTTTAAGATGCAATGGGTGTACGTGTACGTGTGTGTGTGTGTGTGCGTTATAATGGGTGTTGTGTTGTAAGTGCGTGTGTGAGTGAGAGAAAGTGTGTGCGAATAGTATGCGAGTCATCTTGTGATAATGCTGTTGCTGCTGGTAGAGATTACTCCAGTTGTCCTTGATATGCATGATAGCTGTAGTAAACACCAAAGACGAGAAACAGGATCGCACCAGCAAATGTCACTGAATGTTAAATACAAGATGAGATTTTAAAATGCCTCTGGTTTAACTATAACCCTCTTCTTACCTGTTCGTACTGAAATTTTGGCTGCCAACATCCTTCCACCGATAACCGCTAATCCCGTGCACATACTGTGACCAACAATGACGCCTGCAGTAACCCAATATACATTCTGTTGTTGTTGTTGTTGTTGTTCCCAAAAGAAGATTGTTAGTGTTTCATCCTTCATAAACATGGAGCGTATATCCTCTTCCTTACATTGGCAGCTGCAAGAGCAATAGTCGAGATTTGAGATCGATCACCCCATTCACCAAGAAATGTCAATACAAAGGTTTGGACAAAGACAGGCGAGAACATGAGTTGCATGAGGTTCATCAATCCTTCCTTTGCCTTTTCAGCCTTGCTCATACGACGTTCAGTCTCTTCGGGTTCCATTCCTCCGACCTCTAAAGCTTCCAATTTGTGAACGCGTTCCCGATCTTCCGCCTCCTTGAGTTCTTCCTCCACCTCAGTCATCTCTTCTTGTCCACCATCGGCATCCATGTAATAGGCTTCATACATCATGCGTAGTCCAAAGAATAAAAATAGCAGGGCTGCAAGAACATCCGTATATGCCTTGGGTATCAAATTAGGCACCACATGGCCAAGAAGTGCTGAAAGAATAGACATGACCACCAATGATAAAAATGCGGCACTGAATACCACCAATCGAGAATGCTTCATAGCCATAATAGCTGCAATAAGGAACGTCTTGTCGCCAATCTCAGATACGATAATCATAAGCAAGGATATCAGCAACGACTCTTCAAGCTGTTTGTAGTCTTGCTCGTCTTCTGTTGGCTGATCAAACAAGGTCGGTCGATCGTCGGTCGGTGATGGGGCAAGTGCACTGACATCCGCCATCTGTGGGTGCGTGGTGGTTTTAGCCCAAGGATCAGAATACACCATGGTCGTGCTTGTATATCAATGAACATACCTCTTCCACAGGATTGTCTTGGGCATGAGCATAGATGGCAAGTAACAGCAATGCTGCAAATGGGAGCCACTGTCGAGTCATGGCTGTGAAACTTGGAAAAAGCGGGAAGAAAGGTGATGCGCACCAATGATGATCCTCTTATCAAACGCCCTATTCTTTAAATATCTTTTTTGGCCCCACCAAAAGCGCCCCCCTTTTATCTATTGACGCGTTCATACGAATTCATTCTTGTACCTGAACCCAAAACAAATATGGATCCACCCACCTCGTCTCCTAGGAATCAATCTAAATATCATGGTGATCTGCAGAATAAATAGGTCATGGCTATACATATAAGGTTATCTAGATTCTCCTTCTGTTCTCCGCGTTATCTCTTCACACGCACACACACACGCCTTTTTTATACATATCATGAGCGACTCGGAAGAAGACGAACAACGCGACTTTTCTGCTTTATTACATAAAAAACGGCAAGTGTCTACTTGATCGATCCTCTCTTTCAAAAGGACGCCCTTCCAACTCATGTCTCTTTCTACAAATGCAGCATTGCGCGTGAGAAGGACAACACACCGGACAATTCCATTGAACAAAAGGAAGCACTTGATGCGTCACGCAATGCACTATTTACACTTATTGGTGAAGAGCGACGTGCGAGTGCCAAGAGTACAAGCAAAGGCATCTATGAACGATCAAGTGGTCTAACCAAGTTAATACAACCACGAGGCATCCATTTACGTGTGATGGGACATGCAGCAGGAGGCAAGGTGTCGTTGTACTTGGAGGAAGCTGCATGGCTTGTCAGCATACAACATTTACAAGTGACGGATCAACAAGATGGACGAGAATTGGATATGCAAGATTACTATGCAATGGTCTTTGGTGGTGAGGATGGTTGGATCTCCTTTGAGAAATATCAGGTACGTATCCATGGCAACCACAACAACATCCGTTTTGGCGAGTGATTAACTTGTAATAATATTAGACATACGCTTACCTCCGGAGGCTCGGTTATATTGTACGAAGAACACCACCACCCATGATGCTTCCTTCTCCTTCTACTACAAGACCATCCCATTCGATCTTTTGGTCCTTTATCCATCGATTGGCTCAATTCTTTCGACATGTTATTATTCGTTTATTTGGAACAAGACCGCTTGGCTCTTTGCATAGTCGTAAGTGAGGTGCGGAGATGTGTGTTGGATGGCAACTACTCTAGAAGAGAAAGCTAATCATAGCAACCGAAACTATGGGCTATAGCATTATCTGTATTAAGGATCATCCCTTCGACACCGTGGTACAGGCCGTTTACTTTGGAGTCGAATCATCATCATCGCCAACCCCAATTCCATTATGATGTATACAAGCCTAACCCCAACTGGAAGAAACGAGATCCTGGTGTCCCTGATTTTCGTATTGTTGTCACTGGGTAAGCATACATTCATTGCCTATATATTTTCTACCTTGCCTAACAATGTGGTCTTAGTGCACGGGACGCCGTACCTACAATGATGGAGTATCAACAAATCTTTACTGAATTGAACGAGCTGCCATCGCCATCAAGACCCAGCTATCCACGCATCCGATATACTCGCAACTATGGCAATACAATGACGTTTTTGATCGCCGTCGTCGATGATGCGGAAGGTGTCAGCTTTATGAGAATCTCTGGAGATGGTGCTCAAGATCTATCCCTAAAATCATCATCATAGTCATCATTGTATATAGCATTCAAATACATTTTCATCTTGGTTTACATTCAAGTCCTAAAACAATACATCTGCATAGAGCAATGTGAAGTGAAATACAGTACATATATGTGTTGAATACAAAGGGAGAAAACCACCTTGCTTACGCTAACATAATCCACTCATGCTCACGATTTTCTTTTGTATTGGTTGACTTCATTGTACTCTAATACAAAGTTGTCAAGATGCTAAAGTAAAAGGTTGACCATAATGTTTCAAAGCTGGTTGACAAAAATCTTTGCAGTGGACTAATACAATGTTTGCAACTGATGGTAAATTGGATGATGATAATCAGGTAGTTGTAGCAAGGTGGGAGTGGTCCACCAGCATCATCGTGGCGTTTTGACTTGTCCTTCGATTTGGCCTCCTTTGACTTTTTCTTTACGTAACCGATGTTCGCCACCATGCCAATTTCTCGCCAGTGTTGGATCGAATGCATAAAAGTGCTGGCTTGCTTTTCTTCCGGAATCATCCTTGTCACCTTTTACCATGTCACCCTTTTTCCATGTGGGCCATCCCTGGCATCCACAACAGGTATCTTGAGCATTGGAAATAGAGAGTTTGCTATTTGTGCCGGGTCAACTCCAGCACCAGCTCTCCTAATTAAATTGGCATTGCTTTTGTGAATGACTTTGCAAGGTGTTCCGATACGTATGGGGTAATTCCTTCTATACATTTGATGATCTTACTAGGTAATGTGCGTATAAGGTCACCCTCATTGGTCAAAAGCAACCTCAAATGTTGTTGTAACGTGATTTCGGATCTGCCAATTCGCTTTGTCATAACGGCGTAGTCATTTTAAGTCCTTGCCGGGATACATAAACACTATGCTATAGTAGACCTTGAGGGCCTAATCCAGCTCTCGCATATGCACCTCCGGAGGTAGCTACATCTAAAGAAATGTAATATGTATATGAGTTTGTGAACCGAACGTTAATCTAAAAGATGGCTGATAAGTATTACCCTCACTTGAAAAGTCAAATCTATCAATGACAACCACGACAATGAAATTAGGACAACAACATCGCATTGACCTTCTACTTTGACGGAGGTTTGGCCAATTCCTTCAGTTTGATCTTGTAGCTTAAATCCATAGGATCGCAAAAAGACATATCCACCATGGTACTCATAGAAATTTGAACTTTTGAGGTGTAAGCGATCAAAGGATGATAAACGAAAGAGATGGGTGGAAGAAGATGATGAATGACAACATCCTTGTTTATGGATGTGGAAGGGCGTGTGAATTGCTGTAGAGTATGGAAAGTGGGGCGCCAACACTACAGGGATTCAGCCTGTTTATTTATCAATGAGCATGATGGATGTGATGTTGTCCATGCATAAACCGGTATTATGACATAACCAATAAGCTAAACAATGCCATCGATAAGCCATTAGAGTGCTTCGACCGCTAGTAGCTACAACGAGTATAATGAGCTTCTGGTAGTCATCATCATCCAAGTGCAAATGACAAGTCAAGATGTAGCACCAACCACAACTATACCCACTTGAACACCACTACCAACATTTATGATACTTGGTGCATCCATATTATTATGTATCCTCATGCATCCTCATACGGCAGTTGAATAAGACACGATGTATCCCACTCGGCTTTATTAAAGATTCTTGTCTATACAAGTGATGAAAAAGCTTGTCCAATGTCATGGCAAGCATAACAATGGCACGTGATGTATCAAGATCCTATACGTAATCTAACGAGGTGTCCACAAGTTTAGCGGAAATCATATTACATCCATGCACCAATGTTGATTCAAGTTTTACGGGGCCAAAACATGACTCGATAAGAAATATTGGTACAAGCATCGTGTGCAATCAATGTGCGTCTGGGTGACACATACTCCTGAAATGAAACAATCATGCACATATGTCTCACGCTGAACCAAGAGGCATTGAGGAGGAATAAGCGAATCGCCCTGCGAAAGTATGTCAAAGAGCATGCAATAGAGTCATGATAAAGTGGTAATGGGCTTGGATAATGATGGGAAGAGGATACCAACAAAGAAAGGGATCATTGTTGTAGTAATATGGTGTTGGGTATGTTCTCGTGACTGACTGCCTATGTACAGCACACACAACAGTAATCAAGCATTACTCCTCCTCCTTCTCCTCTTTTTCCTTTTTCCTTTGTCTTTCTTTTTCTGTTTCCCTTTCAGTTTATACCTCCGCAATGAATGACGACTATGAGAACGTTGAATGGAATGTGCATGCGACAACGGACGTCTATACACCTCTCGCTGAAGCTCAGGACCCACTTACAGCACTGAGCAACTCTTACGACGCCAAGACCTTCACTCAAGAGGTAGGTAGCTTGTACAATACCAAACAAAGACTTTATTACTTATGCTCGTAATCTACCTTGCTTTGTATAAAAGAGTTCGCCTCTAAGCGCCAATCACTATTACTCACCACCTCCACCACCATCCACCACGACACCTGTCATGCCAACCAACGGATCGGCTGAATCCCTTCATGATGACACAAACTCCCCACGATCCTACAGTATTCCAACTCCACCTCAAAACAATGTCGACGAAAATCCTCCTTATCATGCAAAAAAGATGACTATCCAAGTGACGGATCCACAAAAGCATTCAGAAGGGCCACAAGGTGCTTACATCAGTTATCTTGTTACGACAATGGTACTTTTTCCATCCTTTTTGCATTCATACACACACGCACTATTTTGTTCATGTTTGAGATTCATCGCAACTAATTATGATGGATATGGTCCACTAGACGGCCGTGGAAACGTTTGCTTCATCTCATCCTCGACCAGTGCGGCGGAGATTTCAGGATTTCGTATGGCTGCATAATGCTCTCACTTTGGAATTTCCTGCATGTATTGTGCCGCCGCTACCAGAGAAACATCGACTAGGTAAGGCCATGATAGCAAGGCAAAAGAGAGAGAGAGTGTATGTGTGTGAAGGAGAGGAAGAAGGCAAGGTCCGGTATTGATACAGGATACGTATTTTCTATCTTTAGAATATATCAAAGGCGACCGATTTGGATCTGATTTTGTTGAACGGCGTAGAGTTGGGTAAGTTGGACTGTGTGTTGTTAAGGAGATTGAAGATAGGGCTAATATGGATGTTAGATTGCAATGGTTTTTGGATCGGATAGCAAGGCACCCAGAGCTTCAACAATCACAATGCTGCCGTGTATTCCTCGAATCAGGTGACTTTGTAAGTTGTCAACATGACGGGACGACTGCATCATGCTTATCATTGTATCCCTTAGAGAAATGACAAGCACATGCAACACGTACCACCTACCACTTCTGTATTCGAGTCATTGAGTGACACGTTACTCAACGCATTCACCAAGATCAAAAAGCCCGATGAACGCTTTGTTGAGATGAAGGATACAATTGACAAGTTGGAGGATAATCTCAATACGGTGGAAAGACTATATTCTCGAATCAGCAAAAGGCAAATTGGTAGGTGCTTCTACAACATGACTATATACAATATTCATCGTGGTATTAGATCTTCAGCAAGATTATCACAGCTTCGGCATGAGTATACAAGGATTGGCTGGTCTAGAAACAGGCATATCACAACAACTCCACGGGTTCTCGGAAGCTGTTTTGAGCTATGTAAAGGCAATGTCTGAGATGGTAAGGGGATGATGATGGCATCTTTTTATCTTTGGGGACGATGACGATTTATTGGTATATCATTGTAGAGTCACAAAGAAGATCTCCTCTTTCTCAATGATATCCATGAGCTTTTAGCGTATTGTAATTCTGCAAAGGTAAGGGATGAAGAAGATAGGCCAAGTACAAAACTAGGATATTTATCATGCAAGGATAGGCGGTTTTACGGGCGAGGGATCAAAAGCAAGTTGATTTTGAAGAGCTTTCAGCATTTCTCCATCGAACAATTCAAGAACGTGAAAGGACATTACATCCTGGACGACATATGAATGGTGGTCTGAATATTTCTGAAATCGTTACAGACAAGCTCAATGAAGTTAGAGGGGTTAATATGCAAGTATCACGACGAGAAAAGTTGGCACGGCTGGATCGTAAAGTCAAAGAGGTAAGATGGATGTGTGTGTGAGAGAGAGTGGGAGAAAGGATAATTGCATTTGTTAACTCGCTTTGTTTAGCTGGAAACGGAGGTATCTCACAGCAACGATGTCTCGAATGCATTCTCCAATCAAGTCCTCAAGGAATATGAAGTTTTCCAACGAGCCAAAACCGATGAATTGAAAGAAGGTCTCAAGGCATATGCCGATTCACATGTCACGTTTTATGAGAAGGTTTGTGTCAGAGAGAGAGAGACAACAATAGCGTTTAAAGGTAGAGATACTAAAGAGGTATGATAGGGAGTATCCATATGGGAAAGCGTGCTACCTATATTGGAAAGCATACAAGTTGATGAGGAATCTGAAAGCAATAAACCATCCACGTAACTATTCTTTGATGCATTCAATCAATACATCATGTTCGAGTGTCTTTTGTGAAACCTTGTGGTCATTGTATAAATACATTTGGATGGGACAGTGCGGCGGGGCATGATGTTTCTTCGTCCTATTTCCAGAACCTTCACCTCGCGATTGCGTACAATGTCGACCAACAACAACAATCAGAAACCTTTGCTTGCACTTCCAGCCACTGCAGAAGAAACAGTAAAAGTGGACGTCAATGACACGTACAAGTTGAAGGAATTAGGACCAGTGGGTAAGATCACGATCGGGTTCCGTTTATTTCGCTTGCTCTAAAAATGTCTATTGTATGCATAATGTATAGTGGTCAATGAGGATGGCTCGCTAAGTCGTATCAACAACTGGCATGAGATGGCCGATATCGAAAAGGAAAATGTCAATCGCATCCTGTTGAAGCGTAACCGAGCACGCCTTGAACGACTCAAGAAGCAGCAGCAAGAACAACAGTAACCTCGTTTCCATCATCATCATCTTCATCTTCATCCTCGCCTTTCCATTTTACTACATATGATACATTTCTTTATTTCATAATAAACATGAAATCATTCAAGTACATGCAACGTATATAGCGTAGTCGTTGTGATGCATTTGTAAAGCAGATCCTGCAATATTGAGAAGCGTGTGTTACAGCGTTATTGACAAGATCTAATCACAGTTGAGTTATACTATCGAGTACCGCCTTTGTTCAAGACACAATGAATCCATCAAATTCTTTATCTTCCTCTCTTCATCTCCTTTATCACAGCCTTTACAAGTGGATATTCTTCTACAATCTTGCTCACATACATCTAGGTCCAACTTAGGAAGAAGGATGGATTTATAGAAACTGCGGGAAGGTGGGCCAATGACTGTCGTACTCGCCAAGTAACCTTTATTTGATCCATCATTCACAAAGATAGATTGAGAAGTCCAACCAATTGCTCTAATGGGGGAGATCCATCGATATTGAAAGCTTCTATCTTCGGGGCGTGCGTTTGCAAAGGTGGATGGTGGCAAGTTATATGCATGGCGTATCAAAACATGGAGTTGGATGATGGAAGTTGTACATGATTGACAGATCTCGTAAATGATGATGATCGTAGCTGCCATAGAATAACAATGGTGTGCGCTAATCGTTCAGGATGGTGGTACCAAACATGCTGCTCAAGTTGTCAATGGATACGTAAAAACAAGTCTCTCTCACGCGTTGTATATACCCGGATACTTCCATCACATGTACCAAAGCAATATTTAGATCCATATCCATATCCATAGAAACTCGTTTGTATTGTAAGCAAGTCGCTACACGTAAATAAAGCTGCTTCCATACAACGGCTATCTGCTGTTCATGTAAAAAAGGCTGTAAGGCAGGTTGCTGCAAGTAACTTGAGACAATGGAGTAAAGACGTTGCTAATAGCAGTTGCTATTTCATTGGATCGTGGTCGAGGATTGTACAAGAGAAGACCAAGTGTCAACAAGCGCGGGTGTTGTAGTGGGGTGCACACGCCATCGGTTTGCCAATCAGTCAAAGACAATCGGATCAAGATAATCGTAGTATTGACATGGTAGGTTGAAGCAGGACAATCGTTTGCAGATGGTGGTAGCACTTGAATGCACCAACAGTTGAGGATGGGAGGAAGAGGCAAGAAGATAGGAGTGGAAGAACCGGAAATTAAACGGATTCTTCTGATGCTTGAATGACACTTCTTTGTTTGAGCGTTGTTCCTTCAAATCCACTTGGATCAAGAAATTTGAAGGATGGAGATGATGGGCTGGAGCAGGGGAATGGTTCACATCCATTGGGTTGGGCAACAAAGGTGACTGGGAGGAATGGTCTGCTAGCTGGCAGTTTACAAATAACTTTGCAAAATGATTTTTGTGATGTTGGATGATACTTCTGTGTTTGAGCGTTTTTCAGTCAAATCATCTCGGATCAAGAAAGTTTAATGATGGGCATGCTAGGCTGGAGCAGGACAATCGTTCGTACGCATTGGATTGGGCAACAAAGGAGAATGGGAGGAATGGGCTATCGAGTGGCAGTTTACAAATAACTTACCAATTTGATTCTTCTGATATTGGATGATGTTTCTGTGTTTGAGCATTTTTCAGTCAAATCTCATCGGATCAAGAAAGTTGAATGATGGGCATGCTGGGCTGGAGCAGGACAATCGTTCGTATGCATTGGATCGAGTAACAAAGGTGAATAGGAGGACTAAGGTTATTAGCTGGCATTTTGAACTATTCCTAAATAGTGTACAAGAATCATGCATCGCCTGTGCTGAATGACTCAAGTTACGCAAACACGCCCTCTGCATCTTTTGCTCTATTATAGTCATAGTACTTTACATTAAACAAAGACCACTTCTCATATAGCATCACGCTTACAAACATAAAGGTGCCTGTATCTCCAAACTTTACAATCAAACGTTGGCTCTTTAATAGATCAACGTGCTCGTCGGGGTCAAAGGAATCTTGTGTCAAAGTATGAAGTTCATCGTGGGCAATCCCAGATTTCGCAATGTCGCTACCAGCCAAACTGGATCCGGGGCTCAACCTCTTTCGACGACGACCCAAAAAATATTTTTTGGGCTAGTTGCGACATTGAACGTGAAACTTTCACACAAGGTGCTGTTGGCCAAGCCGAGCCCATTGCTCTATTCAAAACCCCACGTTTCATTGTAAAGTTTGGAGATACAGGCACCTTTATGTTTGTAAGCGTGATGCTATATGAAGAGTGGTCTTTGTTCATTGTCAAGTAGGTGGACCCTGGCAGAGCAAAAGATGCAGAGGGTCGTGTTGTGTAACACAGCTACGTTTGCATGAATGAAAGGGTCAATGTATAATTACTTTATGGATAATCTAGGAACAGGCATGTATTGCTAGCTAACGGCCACTTTTATCAAGTCATCATTGTTGCGAGATCCACTGCATGGGAACGATGCCCCTGCTCCAGACATTCATTTATATGATTAAAGTAGGTTGATCCGAGCTGATTTGACTAAGCTACGGTCAAAGAGAGATTACATCACTCTGGACATAAAGCACGCTTGATGTAGCTCAACCGATGTAATCTTGAGTGAGCGTAACTCAACCAAATCAGCTCGGATCAAGCTACTTTAATCATGGAAATGAATGTCTGGATCAGGGGCATCGTTCCCATGCAGTGGATCTCGTAACAATGATGGTTGGATAAAAGTGGCCGTTAGCTGCCAATGTATGACATAAAAGTGAGGGTTGCGTACCTGTCATGCATTGTCCCTGAAGTCCTGACTTTTTAGCTGAGTTACCCAAAGAGGTCCTTCTGCATCTTTGGCTCTCCAAGGTCTAGCTACTTGGCAATGAACAAAGACCACTTTTCATATAGCATCACGCTTACAAACATAAAGGTGTATGTATCTCCAAACTTTACAATGAAACGTGGGGTTCTTATTAGAGTAATGTGCTCGGCTTGGCCAACTACACCTTGGGTGCCAGTTTCACGATCAAGCTTGCCGATCCCAGATTTCGCAATGTCGCCACCAGCCAAACTGGATCTGGAGGTCGATCTCTTCGACGACGACGACCCAAAAGATATTTTTTGGGCTAGTTGCGACATTGAACGTGAAACTTTCACACAAGGTGCTGTTGGCCAAGCCGAGCACATTGCTCTAATAAAAACCCCACGTTTCATTGTAAAGTTTGGAGATACAGGCACCTTTGTGTTTGTAATCGTGATGCTATATGAGAAGTGGTCTTTGTTCATTGCCAAGTAGCTAGACCTTGGAGAGCCAAAGATGCAGAAGGACCTCTTTGTGAAACCGAGCTAAAAAGTCCGGACTTCAGGGACAATGGATGACAGATACGCATACCTCATTTGCAGTACATACATTGGCAGCTGACAGCCACTTTTTTCCGATCAGCATTGTTGCGAAATCCACATGATGGGAATGATGCTCCTGCTGCAGAGATTCATTTCCATGATTCAAGTAGCTTGATCGGAGTTGATTTGGCCGAGCTACGATCAAACAAAGAAACATCAGTTGCGGTAGATCGAGCATGCTCTATGTTGCTCAACTGATGTAATCGTGTTTAACCGTAACTCAACCAAATCAACTCGGATCAAGGAAGTTAAATGATGCAAATGTTGGGCTGGAGTAGGAGTATCGTCCCCATGCAGTGGAATGGGCAAAGGATTCAAATAAGAAGAAGTGGCTGTTAGCTTGCAATGTATGAACTCATAGATTACATGAATAATATTGGGATAGCCGATTTCGATACAATACTTGGTCGGCAAATGATCTCGTAAACGCTAATCAACTTTGTTTCAATAAAGACTTCATGGTTCATTATGATAACACTTTAAGTGAAAGTGTGCAAATGTAGGAAACAAGCCTATGTACGATCCGAGTCGGGTATTTGTTTACGATCTTGTATACTTGTCATTACAGCATAGCTCAGCCAAACCCTCCTAGGATCAAAAAAGCTGAAGGATGGAAATGTTGGGCTGAAGCAGGAGGATCGTTTACATGCAGTGGATTGGGCAACAGTTGATGATACGGGGAAGAGATTACTAGTTTGCAATTTATAGAATGGACATTGGATGTGGTATACTGAGCATTGTCTCAGGGCAGGTTGTTACAGAGGTAATCTCTTATTGTTGATAGGGAGGTTCTTGTAAAGATTACTACGAGATGATTGTAATGTGATTTGTGAAGGTGTAAGCTTAGTGTAAGATCATTAATCCAACGAGAAATCAAAGGTATACGAGCGAAGCAAGCAACCTGGGCTGCTACTTTATTATTGAAGCGAGAAGGATCAATGTAAAGTAAGCTGCAATGATGTGTAGGGGAGGGAGGGGGGGATCAAATGTAACACCTTTTCTCCTGCAAGCAGCGCTATTCTTCTTCATTCAGCGCACACACACACGACATGGCCAACGGTGGCAATAACTCCAATGCCCAGCACTACGATCAGCAACAAGGTCAACAAGAATACTATGCTCAATTACAGCAACAGCAACAGCAGCAACAGCAGCAGCAGCAGCAACCTCCATTACAAAACGACAGCCATTCGGTCATCCTTGTTACAGCAGGCTACGACAACACCATTCGTTTTTGGGAAGCATTGAGTGGTATTTGTTCGCGTACTATCAAACACCCAGACTCGGTAGGTCATCAGCAACCCCCTTTTGGCATTGATCGCAATCACACTTACCGATGTGCTTTTGGAGGGAACAGCAAGTCAATCGGTTATGCATTTCACCTGACAAGACTACGCTGGCGGCTGCAGGTACTGTCAGGGAGCTCTCTTGGCACCGACACGCGCGCTAAAGTTTTCTATAGGCAATCACTCTGTAAGGTTATACGACGTGAATAGCCCAAATGAGAATCCAGTAAGTATCGAATCCATTGCATGAAATATGGGAGTCAAGGTGGGATAACCATGATCTCCGTTTCCTATAGTTTGTTGTCTTTGGAGACCACACAGGCAATATCACAGCAACTGGTTTCCATGGGGAAGGTCGTTGGATGTTTACAGCAAGTGAAGATGGGCAGCTAAAGATTTGGGATACTCGGTAGGTGCATGATGATCCATAGTCAAGCCGTCGATAACATGGGATGGGATGTGGTTTTTATCTATGTGTAGATCAGGCAACAATCCCGTATTGACAAGAAACTTCAGCAACGGTGCACCTATCAATGATGCTGTGATGCATGCTAATCAAGGCGAATTGGTGACCTGTGATCAAAATGGCAGTGTTAAAATATGGGATCTTGCAGCTCATGCTTGTACGCATGAATTGGTAAGTATGTGAAAAATGGATGGATAGGGGTTATATTTGGATATTCATTGTTCATGGAAATTATAGGTGCCTGAAGAAGGCGTTCCGATGCGTTCAGTGAGTGTTGCTTCCGATGGTTCCATGATGGTGGCAGCCAACAACAAAGTGAGTGATGAGAAAAAAGAAACGATGGATGACAACAATGGCCATGGATTGACATGAAAAAAGGGCAATGTCTATGTATGGCGTATGACAAATACCTCCTCTGATTGTGCCGAAATCGCTCCTGTCACCAAGTTCTCTGCTCACAATGATTACATTTTGCGTTGCGTACTGAGCCCCGACACAAAGTACGTGACACATGTTGCATGTAGACACACGCACACACAATGCTGGGTATTGAAACGTTTACATTAGATTGCTGGCCACCTGTTCGGCGGATAAGACAGTGAAGATATGGAACACTGAACAGAATTTCAAGTTGCAAATGACCCTGACAGGACATCAACGATGGGTGTGGGATTGTGCGTTTTCGGCAGATTCAGCTTATGTTGTCACTGGTAAATGATCCCTGCTTACAAGTTATACATGTGCTAAGGTATACTTACCTCTACCACGATCCTTGTAGCATCTTCGGATCACGTAGCACGACTATGGGAACTCGCACAAGGTGAGACGATTCGACAATACAATGGACACCACAAAGCTGCTGTTTGTGTGGCTCTCAATGACCTATCGGTTGGTTATGCATAATAACCTTGTTACATTATGCTCTCATTTTCCATTTATTCGCTACCATTTGTATCCTCTCCCACACACCAATTCTAGAATTGTGCCAACAAATATATATCAAGCATCTAGATGTTCTCATTGTTCCTCCTAGTGATGATAGTAGTGATGTTGATTGTATGACATTATGGAATCGCAAGAGTAAGGAAAATATCGTGATAGAAATTGAATGTCAAGCAAGGATCTTTTTTCATGTTTGTGTTCACATTCAAGGGTGAATAAATGGCTTGTGCACCAGCAGGTAGTACAAATTGGGCCATTCTCCTAGCTTAGAAGGCTTTGTTTGTTTGCACAGGTGCTTTGTCGGCATTAGAGTCCTTCCGAAGAGGTTTTATTATGCATAAGGTTCGATTTGCTCTTTTTACATTTCCTGTGGATCGTGTCATGTATATCTTAATGGCAACAATGACCATGAAAGTAGGACAACAATGAAACGCTAAGGCCATCACAAATAGGGGTACATGGATCGTTCACAAAGAGGACCACCCACCATGGCATACTCCTTAGGCTTTGAGCACGTGAGTCGTGCTGTTGTTGATACAAGGATTGATAAGGCAATTGGATGGAGCCTCGTTTTTCATTTTCAAACAAAGAGTGATATGGCAGACGAAAGAAATGGTAGGAGTGTAGTGGATGACAACATTCTTATATATGTGCATGGTGGGCATGGGTATTTACGTGACCACAACGAGGATGAAAGGGTTTATATAAAACGCTTGATGGGAATGGCGATGAGTTGATAGATTGAATGTCTATGCATCATGTGAATCAGTATCCAAGATAAACGAAGTGACAAGGTCCATCATTTGCCATGCTCAAATTCAAAGACGTGGTTTGCGTGAGTTTGCGCTTAAGAGTCTACTCGATGTTGCCTTGTAACGATAAAGATACTACATAAAGGGGGCGGTGATATAGCAGTTCCCAGGTTGTGTCCATATGCTGAATCGACCTTTGCAAAAATTGAGGCTTTACAAGTTGGCATAGCCCCACTCATTTTTTTATTCGTATGATCCAACCCAAAGCGCTGTAATAGTGAAAGGCCTGTTTTGGAAGTTATCGTTTGGAGAAACGAGGGCCCCTTTTGTGTAACCGAATCTTCGTCCTTGTGTAAGCCCGAGATTCTGGGTGCACTGGCCCCTTGTCCTTGTGCATGGATACACAGACAATGATGTGATTCTATGCGGTTTTTCTTTTCTCTCTCAAGACTTTATTTTATTTTCAAGTGGGATGGATGCATTGGGTGAGGATAATGGGGCTTAATGCAGTGAAAGAACATACAAGGAAATGCAAGACTAAACAAAGAGCAATATTATTTTTGTTGCCGAAAAAAGGAAAACGAATGTGGGAACAGACAAATACGGGGTTGAATGAAAAAGAGATGATGCTGATGTTGATGTGATGATGAGATGTGTTTGCGTGTGTGTGTGTGTGGGAGAGAGCCGCTTGATGATGAAAAGGATTGGCTGTCATAAGGAGAGAAAATTTCAAAGATGCTGCTGCGAGGAGTGGGATGATGATGAGGATGGTGTCAAAAAGATAGGATCACCTGCTTGTTGTACAATTTGCATGGCGATCTTTTTAGCGTCTTGTAGCTTTCCAGTAGACTTGAGACCAACGACTTGCAGTGCAAGTTCAAGAAGCGCATTGTCGTTTGTATCTTGATAAGTGAAAATAGGCACTTGTTTGTTGCTGGTGTTATCCGATAATGGTTGTGTGAGAGCATTGGATGTTGATCGATCAAGGACCACTGAATGTTCTTTAAAGGACACGACCACTGGCCCAGGTTGGACTGCTGGTGGGAGAATGCAAACGAGTGTATTCGGGTTCCAATAAATGGTTGTAGCAGCATGTTCTCCAAATAGGCATGTGATACCACGGTAGAATCCAGAGCCAAGGATGGTCACTTCACTGCCACCATAAGTGGAACCATGAGCAGGTACTAATCGATCCAATTGGGGTGTGGGCTTGGTTGGTTGATGATGATGGGGATGATGATGATGAGGATGATGAGGATGATGAAGAAGGCTAGGTGATATGTAAGAGGATGGTACTACAGCTGTTGCCGTGGGAGTAGAGGGTATGGATTGATTGGGATGCTCGAGTGGATGTGAATGTGGCTGTGTGGTGGATGTTGTTGTTGTTATGGGTAACATTGTGGATGGAGTATCATTGCAGCAGCTTGTTGTATCGAATAGTGAAGAGAGACGACGCTCGTCACAAGGTGTTGGTAGTGCTGAAGATGGGGCTGAAGATAGTAGCTGAGAATCAGCAAGCAATGGTAAAGGAGATAAGGAACCAGGACGTGATGATGAAGTGAGTGGAGGGGTAGTAGTAGTAGTAGTGGTAGTGGAGGGATGTTGTAAACGGGGAGACTTGTTGGTTGAAGTGGGTTCATCATCCATAGAAGATAACCTTGTACGCTTTCTTTGTGGTTGTATGCAAGTGCTGGTGGTGGTCGATGCGTTTCCTTTTTTCTGACGAGTACTCTTGTGATCATCCGTGATAAGGATCGGCGGTGAAAGACCCGTAGCAATCACGTTCCCTTTGTGATCCCGCATTGTAAATTCAATCCTATCGTAACCCTCGTTCAGTCATCAATTATGCATGCAACACGTGCAATTCTACTTACTTGAAGCCAACCTTTTCGTTATGGTGACGGCAATAACACGCAATCCGCGTTGGTAGAATAGCATCGCCAGAAGTGAAATTCACCATGGGACCACAATTGAAGAGCAAGATGCGATCCTGTTCTGGAATGTCAAGTAGTCGTCGAGAGTTTTGGCTATTCCCTGTCTTTGAACGCTCGGCTCTTTTACGTTCACGCTGGATACAAGCAGGACACACATACACCGGTTGTTCACGTTGGGTGGCACACACTACTCGAGCGTCTAAATGAAGAACTTGCGATTCGTCTGATAATAAAATGCCATTGACCCCTTCGGGTGATGATGGCGGTGTTGCCGTGGATACACGCTGTTGTTGTTGTTGTTGGATAGCGCGCTTTAAACGAGATCGAGAAAGCAATCGTTCAGGAAGCTTGAGATAGGACCAATTAGATACTTTGGTGCCACTGCTCGTTAGCAATTGAATGCATAAACGGGCTTGCGTTTCCACTCGCGATTTATCGGGAGCACCCACGACTCGAATCTGTAATCTTTTTTTATAATCGCATTAACAAGAAGCATATAAAAGGTATGGGTTGTTTTGCTTGTCTTACCCTTCGCTAGCTGGTTGTACTTGTGTTCCACCGAGTAACGGTGAGGATGCACTAGTAGGTGGTTGACCACACTTTGTATGAGTAAAAGTATAGAAAATTAAAAGTAAATGCTGTGGATGATATACCTATTGTTGTTTGGGAATGAGCATGGAGTCGAGTATAAACCCACGTTGCCGGATAAAGGAACATTCGAAGATGGGGTCGACTGATAGCGATGATCCTGCATGCCAAAAGCAGAAAATAAAAAAAAGAATGGCACCATAGCTTAGTAAATGCCCACCATACGGTTATACGGCAATCAATAGAAATTGTGCATTACAAGAGAAAAAGAAGAATGTCGTGATAGAACAGCATGATGATGACTGTTGTTGTCGTTGCCACCAATCCACGAGGTACAAGCCTGTTGGGACTCTTCGCTGCTATTGTTGTCGTCATACTGCGAGATTGGCGACCCACATGCAGGTGTTGAGATATCGTCTCTTGGGCATGATGAGGATGATAAAGGTGACGTGGTGGTGTTCATGTATGCGCTATTGCTGTTGTGGTTGCTATTCTCATGCAACGAAGCATTTACCAGCGAGCTGGGTGCTTTGCCAAAGTCTGGGATAAACAAGGCATTGCTCGGCATGATATCCTGATTGTCTCCAAACACATGGCACATGGGTGGCATACCAGTGTTCGACAATGGTGAAGATTGTGGTAGTTGATGATGATGATGATGATGATCCATCATGCGAAAAGCAGGTAAAGAGAAAAAGGGGAGAATGAAAGAAGGTGTGTGGGTGATTTGAATCAAGATGATTGCCGACGTTTATATGCGAATGAGCGATGGAAACAAAAAAAAGTGACGGGTATCTATAATTACCATTGGAGGGAGGTAGCGAGAAAAAGAGAGAGAGCGAGAGAGAGAGAGTAGGATGTTATCAGTGAACGGGGTTACAAAACATAAAGTAAGATGGGCGGAAGCACATACACATACACACACACACTCACACACGGCCCACCTATCGTTTACACAAATATTATCTCCTTGCCTCCGTGGATGTGTGTATGTGTGTGTGTTTGGGAAGCCAAATTTGTTAGAAACATCATGTTGAGTATGTAGGATGATCGCTTGATGATAGTATGGACGTGCGTTTTGTGCGGATGTAGATGTCCGTGTGTAGATGCGCGGGCGGACAAAGTAAATGTTGGTCTGTTCGCAGGGGAACCCGATATTTTTTTTGTGGCCCAATCTGTACTACCCTTCTTTGGAAAGATGTTTGTAACTTTTGACTATCTTTTAGAGGGAAAGCTGCGGTGGTGATGGAAGATGCATCTTCTTTATTTGTCTTTTCGTATTGGGGTAAAACGTTAAAGTGTGCTTGGATTCCCATCTGCATTGAAGAACAACCTATCATTTGCATCGAACACGCCTCCTCGTTCCCCCATTCCATTTGTGAGTGTATGTGTGGGGGACCAAAGCTTTAGTATTAAGCTCCACACTAGATAAAAACTTTGTCAATAGGACTTGTGTTCGTCGCCACCAACACCTGCGCACATACACACGTGCCCCACTGCAAACTTACTCCATCAAGCATTATCCTTTCATAGCCAAATCCGTTGTCCTTCACTTTTTGCTCTTTCCCTTTTCTCACACGGTCCAAGTGTAACGCTTAGGGCCACGTTTTTTATCCCCCTTCCAACCAAGTGCTGATTTACCTCACTCGTTGGTCACTGCACGAATTCATTTGCTATCACATGTAAAATGATTGATGCACGCCGACCCGTCAAATAATGAAAATGCCCGAATACTTGGTTCAAGGCGTTCCTTTACACAAGGGATGGGGATCATTTGCCCTCTTTCTTCTGACACAGTCAACTCCGCCACATTTTCCACCACGTTTCTTCAGGATCGATTCCAAGGACACAAATCGGAATATACTTTATCAGGTCCATGCCCCTTGCTACTTGAAGTGTGTGTGTGTGTGTGTGTGTGTGCTGATAATGATGCTATTGTCACCTCTGTACTACGGATGCGGAACAAGAGAAAGAGAATGAGAGAGAGAGAGAGGCAAGAGTGATACGATTGTTGTGTGATGATGATGATGATGATGAGAGCGAGATAGAAGAGAGAATGTGAAACAAAGACATGATTTCTTTAGGCAGTAGCCGGCCATCCAAGTGGATATAGATAATAGATTATATATATAAAATTGAGTCCAGAACCCATTGCCGTGCTACCGGGATTGGGATCAATGGTCAAGATGAAGATATGCAAAAGAACACATCGATGAATCATCATAAGGCCATCATCATTATCATGATCGATATCTCGCTCTTTTTTTATTTTGATATCCCTATCTCTAAAGAGATCTATGTAGTAGTAGGACTGGCAATGAAATTGATTTCATTACACATGCCAAGCGAGGAGCCTCTTGTGTGTGCCACCTTGTACAGTATACATAGACGCTCCACATTGTATATTGTTGTGCATGATGAACCCAAAGAAATGGATTACGCCTTTACTGTATGATATGACGGTTGTCAAATTCGGGCCGATGAGAAATTGAAATATGGAGAGATGGGAAAGGATTGAATCGTGCTTGGGTGTTTATGTGGCGTTAGCTTGAAAATAGAGCGATGTGGTCCATGCCCATCTTTGGCAAAGTCAAAAGTTTAAAAAAGCTTTTGGATCGACAGTGATTGGGGTTTTAGTGGCGGTCCATAACACAGACAAGGAAATAACAAACGATGATAATGGTCGTCATATGCATAAACACTGTCATTTGACTTTTTTGAATTTTCCCGCTATTTGCAGTACGAATGATGATGGATGCATTACCAGGTTGCAGAAACACACGCACTTGGTCTTTTTCCTCTTTATCGCATGGAGTTTCCCACAACCATCATCATCATGTAACGGAATTAAGATATTAAAAGGTGTGTGGGAGATTTGGACACACGTGGGTACCGCATCGTTCTTCTCCCTGATTGCAAAAGATCATTCTAGGATAAGTCATTATTAGAAAGAGAGAGAGGGACATGAGTACTACGCGTAAAAGATAAGGTTCGATACTTGATTTGGATGCGTGTTCAATCATGCAGCAGCAACTAGTCATCAATGATCATGGTGACCAAGGTCTCCAGAACTTGCATGACTCGAGCCCCCAATCACCCTTATGTAATAGACGCCAATTACATGAAAAGATTCAAGGATGTCCACGCAGCACATCATTCGTCACTGTCAAACACGTCTTTTGATGTGATCTTCTTTATTCTTGCGTTACATACACGCTGATTGGATGGATGAATACCAATGCCCTATCATCTTCCTATGATACTGTAAACAATCTAGCATATGTTGTCTTGCTATAGATGTCGATTGACCGGGTTTATTAGAATCATTGATACAAGTGGACAAGACCGTATAAGAAGGTATGGAATAAGATATATGATAAGAGACCATTCAAAGCACCATCCACGACAAGTTCACGCCAACCATTGATGAAGTAAAGCCCTGGTTGACTTTGGCACTTGATGAGCAACAATAAACTGGCAAGGATAGTCCAAGAGAGTGCGTAAAACAAAAAGCCATTCCAATTCGTCAATCCAAGAATGCCTGCTGCTGATCCGGCTATGGCTGCAAAACACGAGCGAATGAACTGTAACTGCTTTGCGTTATGCGCCATGTGAGGTTGAAAGTACTTGTGCGCATTCTGATTCGGCTGATTGGGTGCATTGGGGTTGTTCATTATGAAGGTGGTGGTGTGTGGTGGTGGTGTCGGTGATAGAGAAGTGAGGGCGTGGAAACTCAACCTAGGAATTGTATGTGTCGCCTCCCCCTCCTCCCCGCTTTGACAGCCCTCTTTGTTGTTGCTGATGATGGCTCATTCTTCCCTCTTTATAAAGCTGATCCATTGAATGTATTCAAGAACAATATGCCCATTTAATGTAGATGGGTCATGTAAAATTGACCTTTCCTTGTACACTAGACATACGTCAATGTTGGAATAGGTACCTTAGTCTACCAAATTGCCAAATTTGGCCTCGCTCGCAACATTAAGACCTCAGCATTATGATGCCAACATTCATTGATGTACATTAGCATAGATGACGTTATTCGCATGATGCCAAACGTTGTCGATTTATTCATCCTTCTTCAACATGATTGAATGGGTATAGAAAGAGCATACCATATTTGCAAAAAGGATGAAAGGAGATGGTCCATAAAGTCATTTAGAACATTAAGCTATGACCAAACGTAACCGAAAAGCATTCAATCACAAAGGGTTTCCATAGCAACTGTCATCCACCAATGTCGTTGTCACCGTACAAAGAGCAGCAGCAGCAGGAATTTGGCCCAAGCTCCGCTGAAAATGATGCTTTTGAGTTGACGTGCGCGCAGCCATTTCTTTGTTGTATACTCTCTCTCTTTCTCTCCCTCTCGACATACGTTATGCTTCGACGGTTTACGCTTCAAAACGTATCACGCGTGAGTCGATTATCCAAAGTCAAACGTGAAGCACCATTGACATGTCATGAGCAGCGATCGTTCGTTTCAACCACCCGGACCGTCCGAATCAGCCCAAAGACATCGGCGAAAAAAGACGACAGCATCAAAAAAGAAGACATTCAAGCCGCCAAGGTGGACAGTGCGACCATGGCAGCTGCCAAGGAACTTGTCGACAACAATGTGGGTCCTTTTCCTGCAAGCGATTCGTTCGATCAGCCGTTTCAGGAGGCTTCCAGTGCCCAAGACTGGTCACGGTCTTTCCATGGCCTATCCACACAACCTTTTCCACGAGAGATTGCTGACGTGCTCCAGGAACCTATCGCCCCTGAAGATGTTGAGATCACACCAGGTACATTAGGGAAACAATGATGGTGCAACAACAAGATGACTTACAACAATTATTATGCAGATGGTTTGTTGTACCTCCCAGAAATCAAATATCGCCGTATCTTAAACAGAGCCTTTGGACCTGGTGGTAAGTCTCAATGTTTGTGGATATAGATAAAGGGTATTCATACGTGCTATTAGGTTGGGGTCTTGCACCACGTGGCGATCATTCCATCAACAAGAAGAACATTTCTCGAGAATATGCACTCGTTTGTCATGGAAGGTACTTTGTGTGTGTGTGTGCTCGTTAGGGAGGATGGCAAAAAGGGAAGGAAGGGCTGACAATAGGAATGTAGATTCGTATCTCAAGCTAGAGGTGAACAAGACTTTTTCGATATCACAGGTCTCCCAACAGCGTCAGAAGGATGTAAGAGTAATGCATTGATGCGGTGCTGCAAGGATTTGGGTATTGCGTCTGAGCTATGGTAAGGGTACCTTTTTCTCTTTTTGTATGATCTCGATACTGACATTGTATTACTACTAGGGATCCTACCTTCATTCGCAAATTCAAAAAGAAGCATTGTGTGGATGTATGGGCTGAGCATGTTGTTCAAAAGAGGAAAAAGAAGCTTTGGAGAAGAAAAGATAGCACACTTGGTAAGTGACCCATCATCAAGATTGTATCCTGATTTCGTTTGTTTGACAACTTTGGGTTTTCCTTGTAGAATATCCCTATAAAGAACTGTCTCAGGATTAGGAGAAAAAAACGGCCATTTGATAAAAAGGGCATGTGATATGATTTTCCTCTTTTGCTACTATAAAAGCGATTTGATTTGCGTTTTCCTCCCTCCTCTGTCTCTCTTTTTCTTCCTTTTACTGCTACTATTCATGGAGTTGTTATACAGCATCATCTTTTTATTATTGATCTTGAAAGCGGTCTCTTACGCGATCACAGCTGAGGACGACGATCAGGAACACGAGGACGACATTAAACACCAAAAGGCGAGAAGCGATGATAGCAAGACGACCACCCCATTGACACCATCATTAGCACCTACTTCGCTTGATGTGCGTTTCGTTTCATAATCCCCCACCCTTTGTGCTTTTCACATGCTTCGGTTGCACACATTTCAAGCTGCACCATCATTGAATAAGATGATGATGATGCCACCATTCGATGTAAATACCCTTGTACATATATAATCACCTCCTTCTTCTATCTCATGTAGTATACACACATCATACCATACCTATATATCGAGTAAATACCATGATGTCAATTCTCGCTTTCGACCACACAGGCACATGTACACATGCATGGAGTTATGGCTCAGGGGGTTTTAAAGAGTAAAGTTTATTGGGTTCCCATTGTATGCATGATATTGTAAACAAACAATTATCCTACATGAAGGCAGGCATAACAACATGAGTAAATGGCAATTGGCAAGAATAATACGTAAGATCGGCGCTGTTCCGTGTGTGTTGCACAAGTACCAAACCCGCGGCAACCCATTTTCCCGCATCGCTGCGCCTCATAGTATACGTAGTAATATCATGGCAAGCATGTACATGATGGCATCGTTTGGGAGTGAGGGCATGATGGTGATGCGCCATCTGGTGGGTAGGGATTTTGAATAGGGGGCCAGTGTATATGTACATGGCGAGGATCTTGATCATGTCAATCGATGAATCTCATCGAACCTTACATAGCTCTCTCCTTTATTAGACATCTAATCCCGGTCCAGGTCACCATCATTGCAACATTATCATAAAGGTAAGTCTCGTTTATTGTTCCAATTGTTGGATGGATCATGAAGAATGTTCAAGAAACAAGAGACAAACGTATACATATCATTCCCCAATTTCTGGTTCAAAAGCTCTCCACACCACCATCATTATTATATAGTCAAACGAACAAAAAAGGCTAGTACCTTGGTCAGAAACCGAATGTAAAACGCAATACACACACACACACACACATGGGACACCACCACCAATCAAGCACGCAAACAAATACAAAATGAACGTGTGAGTGAATGAGAGAAGAAGAGTGAGTGTAGCTAAAGATACAAACACGTAATATATGTATAAAGGTGAGACATGGTATAGACAACAAGGGGGGAGGGCATATGAATGATGTCGTAATAAGCAAAAGAGAGAGAGAGAGAGAGAGAGAGAAAAAAGCACATTGTGGGAGGAAAAAAAGGGGATTGTCTATCATCATCCATCACGCCTAAATGGATCGTGTGGTGTACCAAGATGTGGAGGCATATCACCTAAATCCAATGGGTGTCCTGTAGGTGGTGGTGGTGGTGGTGGCATCATGACTTGTTGTTGTTGTTGACCGAGATTGGCATTGGTTCCTCCTCCTTGAGCATCCCCACCGCTGCCATCACCTCCTCGTACACGATATACAGTCAACATGGATTCCAGTTCTTGTATACGCTGCTGATATTCGCCAAGTTTATCGTGCAACAATCGGATATGGTCCACCGACTTTCTTAAGATGGTACCTTTGTTGGCTTTGTTGGCATCTCGATCAGGAAGGAGGGTAGCCAGTTCATTGATGCGATCATTGATATTGTCTCGTCGTCGTCGTTCAACAGCGTTATGCGATTCACGTCGTCGTCGTTTCTTTTCAAACAATTGCTGCATACTATTATATAACATTCGGCTTAGTCCATTTCCCAATGATCCCGGTTCATTCACACACAACACAACTTACTTTCGTTGTTGCATTTCTTCATCAAAGCTACTTGTACTGGTTGGTGATACCATGGATGTATCCGATTGTTTGTTACCATACATGCATGAAGATGTTGGTACTTGAGATGATGATGATGAAGATGATGTTGGTGGTGGTGGCGGTGGTGCTGACCATTGCTTGTGATCTTGAGATGCATAATACATGTCTTTGCTACTGCGTTCTTGTGATGATGATGATGATGATCCAGGCATGGATGATACTGGTGGTTGAGTGAAACTCGGTGTAGGTGTGTTATAAGGTGGTTGACTCTGTTGTTGATGATGTTGTTGTAGTGTGTATGATCGAGAAGCAGTGGATGGATATGGTTTAGGTGAAGCTGGAGCATTGGTGTTCATAGGTAACTGTTGTTGTTGTTGTTGTTGAAGGTTCATTTTTTGATGTGGGTGAGGAGGTGAATCAAGGGACGAAGTTGTGAGCGGCGACGGAAACGCTTTCTGTTCACTTCCCATAGCTACAGCTGCTGCAACGGCATTTACATCGGCTTGTTGACGGTGCTGTACTTGCGATTGGGATTGTTGGTTTTGTTGTGTCGCATGTGTTTGAGGATGCTGCTGCTGCTGTTGTTGTTGTTGCTGTTGTTGAGGACTAAAAGAAGGGTGCTGCAGCTGGACATTATACATTGTCAGTAGTCAATGGGCAAGCACAAAGAAAAGGACAAAGAAAAAGAGGAAGAGAGAAAGGCAATGACGTAGTAAATCAATGTGCGCGTAAAAAGAGAGCGAGAGAGAGCATGAGAAACACACAACAATGGTGTAACTCGTGACACACCTGATCACGGGCCCATTCAAATAGATCGTTTCGCTCGTCGTTTTCCCTCTCCTGTTTATGCATCATCCATGAAAATGGTTCCCACTTTAAACTCCATTATCACCCGAATCAATGGCATTATTCCTTATCGTACTCGACACGCACCCATATCTTATGACAAACTTTGTATCGTTTGGTGTATCCTTTGATCTTTCGCACACACATCTTGGCTTGTGTAACACTCATCAGCCATATCTCATCATGCCGAATTATCGTATTCAAGCTCCAAGTTCAAGGTGCTTGGTGTTGTTGTTACGCTGTAAAGATTAGATCCCATATACCACTCGTCATACACATGGATACCCGGTAATAGGTACGCAAAGATGAGTGATTGCCTTGCGTCCATGTAATGCGTTACGACATCACCAGTACAGTAGTAGTAGCAGAAGAGCATTATTAATCATTTTCTTCAATGAATGAGGATTGCCAGCTCGGGAGATAGCACACGCGGTAAGATCAATAATGCAGCAATGTGGTACATGTGCACTGTAATAATATGAAAATTCGATAACAGAGGCAGCAGCAGGATCCATGAGCACCATCATCATCAGCGGGGAACACCTTTCCAATATTCTTTGTTGTTGTAGTAGTAATTACAATCTCAATACAATAATAAAAGTCTTACTTTGAACGTGGCTAACAATGATATTATGCACGACAAATGCAACAAGGTCATGTGCTCATTGGATTGACAGCAGCAGCAGCAGCCACCGCGTTGTTGTCGTGTAAGGCCTTTGCTGCACGTCAATTTGATCACGCTTATTTCCTCTTCCACTCTCTACAACGTGCGCGCGTCGCTTGATCTTTTTTCCCATGACCATCATGTTTGGGATAGATGAATCGATGAATTTGTACTACCATCTACATTGACGTAAAACGATATGCGTGTACCATCATACGCCTTAAATTGCTATGCTCTACTTACAGATCCACATATGCGGGCACCAGCAGCAACTGCGACGAGGTTGCACATGATGTCAATACGGATGACTCGGGTAACTTACTCCGTGTGCTGCTGCTGCTGCTGCAGAAATCTGATTTGCGAAAAGTGGCACTTGCTTCGAATGTGGATACTTGCGCTGTTGTATAGCACATTCTCAATACAGCAATGTACATAGCGATATGCATGAATGCATGTTTGAACAAGTTGGTGCCGTCTCCAAACTTTATTAATCGTCTTCTTTGAAAGCATTTACTCATCCAATGGCACATCATCATCTTCCTCAAGGTAATCTTCATCTTCCTCCATGCCTTCTTCTTCAATGGTTGCTTCCTGGTATTGTTGATATCTATGGGAAAAAGGATATCGGTTAAAAGTGGCGGATCATATATACACAAGCTTTAAAAGTACAGGACTAATGCAAGATAGCTTTCAAGGGCCCCCCTTTTTTTATCTTTTTCCCCCACATGCATGATAGTAGTACTTACTCGGACACGAGGTCATTCATGTTGGATTCAGCTTCAGTGAATTCCATCTCATCCATGCCTTCACCAGTGTACCAATGCATGAAAGCCTTGCGTCTAAACATGGCCGTGAATTGCTCATTGACACGCTTGAACAACTCTTGGATAGCTGTGCTGTTGCCGATAAAAGTACCCGACATCTTGAGTCCAATAGGTGGAATGTCACACAAGGATGTCTTTACGCTGCTTGGAATCCATTCTACAAAGTATGACGAGTTCTTTTGCTGTACAGCCAACATTTGGTTTTCAACTTCCTTGGTCGAGAGACGTCCTCTGAAAATAGTAGCCACTGTGAGATAACGACCATGACGTGGATCTGAAGCAGCCATCATGTTGCGTGCATCAAACATTTGTGCCGTGAGTTCAGGGACACTGATGTTGCGGTATTGCTGGGATGCAAAGGCTGTGAGTGGCGCAAAGCCCACCATGAAAAAGTGCAAACGAGGAAAGGGAACTAGAATTTACGCATGTGCGTACATGTAACACGCCCGCATGTCAGTTGCTATTTACGCATACACATACACACATCACCACCACCACCATCACCAACAACAACCATCCCCTTGGAAACAACCCCGTCGTCATGGTCCCAATTTTTCCCCTATACGCACCCATGTTGACAAACAGCTTTCTCAAATCCGAATTGAGTTGACCAGGGAAACGTAAGCTGGTAGAGACACCCGACATGACAGCTGAGACGAGTTGATTAAGATCGCCATAACCAGGGTTGGTAAGCTTGAGGGTTCGGAAACAGATATCATAGAGTGCTTCGTTATCGATACAAAAAGTGGCATCACAATTCTCCACAAGCTGATGCACCGTTAAGACGGCATTGTAGGGCTCAACAACGGTATCAGAAACCTTGGGGGATGGTACGACCGAGTAGGTGCACAACATGCGATCGGGGTATTCTTCACGAATCTTGGATAGCAAAAGCGAACCCATACCAGAACCGGTGCCACCACCTAACGAGTGTGCAAGTTGAAAACCTTGGAGACAATCCGTGTGTTCAGCCTCCTTGCGAATAATGTCCAAAACAGATTCAACCAATTCAGCACCCTCGGTATAGTAACCCTTGGCCCACGAGTTGCCTGCACCCGATTGTGCATTCACGAAATTATCAGGTCGGAACAACTTGCCATAAGTGCTGGATCGAATGGCATCCATGGTGGCAGGTTCAAGATCAACAAGCACTGCGCGAGGTACGTATTTGCCAGTAGAGCCCTCGTTGTAATACACATTGATACGCTCAAGTTGAAGGTCATTGTCACCAGCATAGTTGCCCGATTCATCAATGCCATGCTCTTGGCTGATGTTTTCCCAAAACTTTTGACCAATCTATATACATGCAATTTGCTTCATATGTAAGTTCATCATCCCATAAGGCAGCATCACGAAGAAGGATGACGCACCTGGTTACCACATTGGCCTGCATAGCATCAAGAGCAAGCATGTGCATGTAAAGCATACATAATAGGTTATCAACGCGTGTCCATGATAAAACCCAAACAAGGCTCACCTGCTTGTACGTGGATAATCTCGCGCATATTGGGACTAAAAAAAATAAAAAGGAAGGAAGAAAAAAATTGATACAAAAAAGAAAGGAGCCTGATGGGAGCCATCCGTTATATGCTTGATGCTGCGGAAGGTGAAATATCATGCATAGAACATTGACACATGCGCGTTGCTCGGCACCCCAATGCAGCCCTTGTCCCTTGACTTTTTTTTTTGCTCTCCTTCCAACCTCCTCCTCCTCCTGCTCCTTCCTTCACGTTTAACAAGAAGAAATTTAAAGCTCAAAGCGTAACATGTCCAACACAGCAGTAGTCGTTCTTTTTGCTGTCATCCTATGAATCCGCCATTGCCATGGAGACGCATTATTATCAACTCAACAACAAGGCTGCCTTTTCGATCAGCCATGTGTGACTTGAAACCAAGTATGTTGGAAACAAGAATACATGCATGCATATAGTAATACTCTTGGATCCACTGTATAATATCAAGAATACAGTACACCCATCATCCATGGCGTATCTATGATTGCTACTACTAGATGTCGGAAAGAGAGAGAACTCTATCTTTGGTATCACGGTCTTTAAAACAAGTCAACAACCATCATGGTGGTGATGATAACGATGATGATGCATCTGCAGTAGCAGTGGCATGCAAAATGCTTTATTCCCAAGCCAAAGTAAGACATCCATAACGCTACGACATTTTGAGTCATCCAATTCACTCGTTCATTTGTCATCCTTATTGCACTGGCCACGGTAATCCTCTTGTGTATAGCAGCAGCGACCAGCACCATCTAAGAATTTACAATGACGGCAGCCGATTAGCGTATGCATCCTATAGCAGAAGAAGGAGCTATCCATACATACCAATTTCTTGAAGCTTGGAAGGCTCCCAACATTTGATGTTGCGGCAATTTTGATGTTTTACACACACCAAGACATCAGCATCCGGATCATATTTAGCTTGAGCCATAAGGGCCAAAAGAGGAAACAGGACAGCGAGGCATACAAAGTGTCTTCTTCCTGGCATGATTATTGTAAAAGAAAAGGTTGTTGATGTTCTTTGAAATGACCCAGCTTGGCGTCTTTTATAACTTTTTTTAGATCCTGATGGGGCGTTCACACCTCCTCGGTCTTTGTTGCCTTTGGTAATAGTTATAAAATGGGAAGCAGTAGTGTAATTGAGGAAGTAGTAGTAGCTGAACCCTTTACAACCGGTCAATTGTAGAAAAGGGAAGTCTCTCCTTGTCATGCATTACAAAGCAAATAGCACGAGACCCCAAATAGTGGATGCATGCGAGCAAATCAATTTTAGCGTGGGTTGTTTCAGGAAAGAAAACAACACCAGGAGTACCACCATGGACGCCATGCATAAATCAATGTCGTCGGCTCACACCAGGATTTCGAGCTCAGAAAAAAAAGTGCCGAGCCAACTGGTCCCATTTTGACCCAATGTCAGCCATGACAGCACAAGATAAAAGCACTCCATTATACAACTCAAGAGTTCATGATTCATCCTTGCGTGGAAGTACAGCGTTGCTATGCTACAGTTGCTTGGACACTATTAGGGATTCGAAAAGTATCATTTGATTTCAAGGGTATGATACGCCGGACACGCTTTGGCACTTGCGAGTGTGTTATTTCCAATGTTGACATGATGAGGGCAAGTGGCACCACGTGATTGGATCACTGATGACCCAAAATGTTACGTTTACTATTGTATTTGGATGACTGTATTTGGGATCCTACATTTGTATACATTCTTATTGAAGGTGTCAGACGAACATTGAGACGCTTGATAATCCCTTTTCCTCATTGAGATAGCTACTCAAGGAATGCCAAGGAACCCAATACCAAGGTGCGCTCTTAATAATCCCATCCAATGATCAATTGTAGATATCCTCAACATAAAAGTATAGCAAGCAAATATGTATCTCATTGTTGATACTGTGTTCATCCATTAGCTAGTTTCTATATACAGATTTGAAGGAGGAGGGTGGGGTGGGTGAGGGGTGTTGGATCCTTTCTAATAAACGGTCATCAAAGCAAAGCAAGCGTAAAAGAGACCGACAGGGTATGCGACAAGGAAGCGCTGTTCGCTCATATGCAAAACGCTTGTGAACATGCCAGAGCTTGAATAAGTGCACCATAGAATGCTAACAGCCGTAAGCAGCAAACCGACGAATCCACCCAATGGAAGTACGACACTGAACCCACTCAACATGACCATTGGAAGCAAGCAATAACCGAGGACACTCGCTGTCCTTGACCAATCGATACCCGTTTCACTCATCATATTCAGGATCAAAAAGATAGAGACCACGCCAAGTAAGCCGACGCCATAAATGTAACCGAAATGGACCTTGCCTGAAAGCATCAAAAAGATACCAAATAAAAATACAAACAATAGTGGGCCTGCCATATCCGCATCATCCATGATTGTATCGGGCACAGCTCGAATGGGATTCAATACAGTCAAGCTCTAATAGAAGAAAAGAGGTCCATCAATATGTATACACGTCCCTTTTCTCTCTTTCCCTTTCCATGGCAACGAATGTATGTGTACACGTGTGGGGGATCCAACCTCCTGCTTACCTTTGTCTTGATATGATCAAAGTTGATACCAAGCTCTTCGAGAAGGGGTGGCTCATCTGCAAATCCGCCAGTACCAAATGCACTCCAAAAGGAACCTGATTGATAGTCGAAGCCAGGGCCACGCATGTCACCCGATGCAGCAGGAGGAGGTTGAGCATAATAGGATGATGAAGTATACTGATCGCCATAGGAAGAGTTGTAGAATTGAAGACCGTCAGCACCAGCACCACCACCTCCAGGCGAATCATAGTAACCACCACCACCGCCCTGAGGTGCTGAATTGTCAAAGAGAACCGAATGTACGGGTTGATTGGATGCCATGGAAGCGAGGCTTGCTCTTGGTTGGTGACTAAAAGTGAGCAAAAGAAAGCGCGAGAGCGACAAAACGTGGTCGTGTCTGATATGCCCCCCCACACCCCGCACATTGGATCCATCCACCACCCTTCCACAATAATACCACTGACGGAAATCACTATTTACTTCTTTGCAATAAACAACGCTCTATCTTTTACATCTATGAATCATGTTGCTGTAGGGTCTATGACATACTTGAGAAATACCCTTTGGACCAAGGTAGAGTGCACGTAGCTGATACATTGATGATGATGATGATGCTTTGGACACGACCATGATTGATCTTGTTGGCTGGCATAATTGAACCACGTTGTTGGTCGTTGTCCCTGTTGTAGAAAGAGGTTCCCACGTTAGTTAAAGTATGATCCCTTTGTTGTCTCATCTCAATCACCTTTTGGACATGCATTTTTGGAGGTATCATGTCGTTTAGACGTCTTCTTTTGCCTATGGTAAGGTTGATTTGGATCAGTATAAGGTAATAACACACTTGTATATAATCACGTCGTGTACAAATAGCCACTACTAATAGCAAATGTAATACATAATACACCAGCTAAAATATCGATCCTATACGCCTTGGGAGGAGGAGCCATGGGAAGGGAGAGTACAGGCCTTGCCATTCGAAGATGAGTGTGTGGCAATAGCATCGAGGATCCATGGTCTTTGAAGTAGAATGATTCATTGTGTCTCCAGATTTGGCGAACAAGAGCAAAAGTAACCAAGAGATACGATTTCCATGGCAACGCAAATCAGGCAAATACCAATGCGGCCAAGGTGTGTTGTGTTGAGATTCCGCCAAATGTCTAGGTCAGCTTGGATCCATATATGCAAAGAGTAGCGGGTTGTTTACAGCTTTGTACACTTGACTATGACCTCTGTTCAGTTTACAGTAGGCCGGCTTGATGCTGGTATGGTACGATACGACAATAGAAAACGCGTCGATAAAGCCTTGGTAGGCTAATGGGATACTCTTTATGCACACCTCCCCTTGACAGGCCATTCTCTTGACGGACGATCATCATCTCATTGAGTTTCCTTCCTTGCTATTGCCGAATGGTGTTACATCGGGAAGCATTGTGAACATTACTGTGAACCGCAACTCAGATGAGGAGGAGAAAAAGATGCACGAGTTTTGGGACCTACAAGATACGATCCTGAAGAAATACGGCCAAGTTGAACCAGGGAATCCAGTTTTGCGTGTGCGCAACATTACACAGACATCATTGACACTTGAATGGGATCCACTGGAGTTGCACACGGCTGAATTGCGTGCACTTGAAATATACAAGAATGATACCAAATTGGCTCATGTAAGGAAGGCTAAAGCAACAAAGATAGAAAAAAAAGTGGGATGCCAATCTTCTATCACTGTTTTAGCACGTGCCTACCGATACACATACCATGAAGCTATCAGGATTGGATGTGGATCATGAATACGAGTTCCATTTGGTGATGAAGACTACGGCAGGCAAATACGAATCCAACCGAGTCACTGTACGCACCCATAAGATGGAGGATTTATCCGGCATCGTTGTCGTATTTGGTGAATTCAATGAACCAGAACCAGCAGTCGTATCAGAAATGAAGCAATTACTCGACAAAGTGGGAGCTACATGGCAAGAAGACATTACCAGCGACACTACCCATCTCATTGCAGAAGTACCACGTGGTCCAAAGTATGATAAAGCGCTCACAAGTTCTATACCGGCTGTCAAACCCGATTGGTTGGTCCAATGTGAAAAGAATCAAAAGATACAGGCAAGTTACAAGAGACATTTTCATTGTGTTGCGTCGTGTAAGATGACTAATGATAAGCATGGTTGTTATTAGCCTGCCCTGCCCTATTACATTGTCAATGTCCCCACATCCTCATCATCTGGAAACCCATAAGGCTACCGTTGTTGTTATTATTGATTTGGGAAAGGTTAGAATAATACATTTGCTGGTCTATTATAAGCATTGTGATTAGTGTTAAGAGCCACAATTAATTCTATCTTGAGAACACCGTCTTTGATTCATTATTCATAAGCAATGCATTGTTCATTAACTTGAAAGAACGCAATCATTGTTGTCGAGGACTAATTCATCGTCGCCCTTAAAGATGCCATATCACGTCGTCGGGCTTATGAATGAAGAACAAAGGGCTCTATACACATTTCCATCAGTTTCTTTGCTTGTATGAAATAGCCAAGGAGATGCAAGTGTTACCAAATAATCTTATCGCGCTTATGACTATCCTTTACCATCATCTATGACAGGGCTTTATTGTTGTAAGAATGAAGATGGGAGGAGGAGTTGGAGGTGTTGTATAGGATTCTAGTGTGTTAAAGAGATGAAAAGCGGGCGTTGGCGGGGATGAGAGGAGTCACACAGGCAAGTCTTGATGATGGGGTACATTTGCCAGCGTTTGTGTGGTTTCGTTTCTTTCCGCTTTTCGAATCTTTAGTCATTGACCATGTTCTTCCGTCCTTCTGTTTTGCTTAATGCTGCATCGCGCGCTGCTTCTGTTTCTACTGTGAGCCGTCAAGCTGCTTTCCGCGCTACTCCCGCTGTCCTCACTCGTCTTTATACTACTGGTGGTGTTCCCCGTGAGAATGTCGAATCGCGCGTTCTTGATATCGTCAAGGGTTTCGATAAGGTTGACGCCTCCAAGGTAAATGACAGATACACATATATATGTTGAATGGATGGGATCATGGACTTATTTGTGTATGGTGTATGTATAGGTTACCAACGCCTCCAACTTTATCAATGACCTCGGTTTGGATAGCTTGGATGCTGTTGAAGTTGTGATGGCCATCGAAGAAGAATTTGGTGTCGAGATCCCTGACAAGGAGGCTGATGAAATCAAATCCGTGAACCAAGCTATTGACTACATTGCTTCCCGTGCTGATGCTCAATAAGATAACTTGGCTGTGTGTTTACATCACAATTCTTTTTCCCCTCCGCAACCATAGATAGTTCGAATGCATATCACACACACACTCTCTCTCTTTCAAGAACAATGTTCCCTTGTTCAGGATATCAATGAGATTATTATAGTGTTATATTGTTGTCATGATGAGGGAGGGATATGAATAGGAAGGCAGGTGGGCAAAAGCGGGTTCTTTGGAGAGGAGAAGGATAGGATTGTGGGTGATCAATAGGATTCCTTGGATACAACAGTAACTAGGATACGCTCAATGCCTATTCAACCCATCCCACTTTATCCGAAATGCTCCGAGTAAGCGCGCACTGGTGATGTATGCGTGTGTCTGTGGTGCGTGTACGTGTACGTGTGATGATGGCAACAGCCGCCTGACATATAAATGATTGTGACCACCACTACCACCAACCAACCTATCTATTCGCTTTATCTCACACCCCGGGTTTTGACACTTTTCCCACATGTACTGCCAGGCACGATCCTCCCTTGGTGGCAAGTGATCCCAATCCCAATGACCCATGCTACTTGTCTCTCGCTCTCTCTTTTCTCATACATGTCATTGTGATCCTCCCCCTCCATGTAGTTTCATTGCTTGGTGCACGCCTTGCAGCCACGCGTACCACTCGCCTCATTCAACGCAAAGCACCCTTTTCGGGCACCACCGTATCTGATCTTGTTCCAGAAACCCACCAGCGATCGTTTGGACAACCCACTGTATATAGCCATCCTTATCTTATGAAAAAAGGGGAAGGTATGGATACAACAATGGCCTTTTGTTGATAAGGAGAATAGACGGCTAAATCCATGCACACAATTTTCCGATAGTGACACCTGGTCTCCCTGCAACCGAGTATGAACGACGAAGAGCCAATCTCATGAAAGTATTGCCTGAAGGAAGTGCTGTCATCAGTGCTGGTTATGGCACACGCTACATGTCCAACAATGTCTTTTATCCCTTCCACCAAAACACGGATTTCTCCTACCTCAGTGGATTCAATGAACCAGACGCGGCCATGATTTTGGGTACAGTGATGAACAAAGGAGATACAAGATGGGATAGCTGCTGACGATGGGTTGGAAGAAAAGAACGATTCATCTAGAGGATACAAGCAAACCATGTTTGTCCCACCCAAAAGTCCTGCCGATGAATTATGGGATGGTCCTCGTACTGGTGTGGATGGTGCAAAAGAATTATTCGCTGCTGATGAGGTATGCCTTTATCTTTTTTACCTGCTTGGAAAATAACTCATCCTTGATTGATTATAGGCCTATGACAATGCACGTTTCCCCATGTTCCTAAAGGATGCACTACAAGCAAAACATGTCTTCATGGATAAACCCCCTGCGTCATCCATCTTGGCCGCTTCGGATGCTACACGTCTCGTGGACTTTGGTAGGTCTTCCTCGTGGTTCAATTTCTTAAAGGGTGTGTAAGGATCAGGTTCCTGCACATGGGAATGATAGGACAAAATTGTGTGTGATTTTGCTGACACTTTGTTCATTCATGCATAGCCAAGAACCAACGATCGGTGAAGCCTCTTTCAGTTCTTGTACAAGAAATGCGTATTATCAAAAGCGACAATGAGATCGAGCTCATGAAACAATCGGGTCATATCAGTGCAAAGGCTTTTATTGAGGTACGTAGTGGGTGAGTGACTGAGTGACTGAGGGCACCCACATTAACGTTTGTGTGTAGGCTATGAAATGGACACAACCTGGATATTCAGAATCGCAATTGTGGGCAAAGCTGGATTATGAATGTCGCATGCGTGGATCGAGTATCCTTGCCTATGTCCCAGTGGTCGCTGGCGGCCCTAATGGATTGTCAATGCATTATGTACGCAATGACATGAAACTCAGGTTGGTACATGGTCCATTCATTCGTGGTTGCTTTGTTCTAATATATCTTTTTAACAGAGATGGTGATCTTGTGCTGGTGGATTGTGGTGGTGAATATCATGGTTATGCAAGCGACATTACACGTACTTGGCCTGTCAATGGCAAGTTCACTGAACCACAACGTCAATTGTATCAAGCCGTTTTGAATGTCAATAAAGCATGCATCAAGGTAAGTGATGACCCACCCTTTAATGTAATCCCTGTTATGATTGCTAAATCATACACATAGCTCTGTACAGAACAAGCCAAGATTTCACTACACGGTATCCATGCTGTTTCTGCACGATTAATGAAGGAGGAATTGGCGAAAATTGGATTCCAAACAAATAGATGGGTAAGAAGTTTATCCACAACCTAGAGCAACAAGGATATTAACGACGTATCCACCCATGTATATGTAGGATCTCGAGCGTATCCTCTATCCTCACCATGTTGGTCATTATCTGGGACTTGATGTGCACGATTGCCATGATCTTGATAGGTCACGTAGGCTAAAGAAGAATATGGTTATCACCATTGAGCCAGGCATCTATGTACCTTACGATGACCGATTCCCTCGTGAATATCAAGGCACTGCCATCCGTATCGAAGATAACTGTGTCGTGGGCGAAGAAGAGCCCTATGTGCTTACTGCAACTGCTCCCAAAGAAATCGTTGATATAGAATTCTGTTGTGCAAACACCAACTAGAAATCGTATCTTTTCAAATTGAAAAAGTCTTTGTATAGAGCTATTGCTTGCTTTACTCGTCAATATTTGAAAATCTTATGTCCTTTGCTTTATTAAAGAAGATGCATGTATCCTATTGATCATAAACAATCCACTAGACAATAGCAAAGTGTATTAATTTAGGATAGACACCGACTATCAAAATAGGATTGGGAGTTCCTCGTGACTGCGGCCATAGTGGGCACAAGCGGGCAACAAAGCCGGGTCTCCACAAACAACACCTTTAAGACTTCCACCCTATAATGTTCTTCACCCGTCCATTGCTGCAGGCGGCCAAGAAGGTAAGGGGACAAGCAATCTTTTACACATGACATGCATCAGACGCGTTGACGATAAAGCATTAGGCCTCCACTGGTCTTACCGGCATTCCCGTTCATCCCAACCCACGCCCACACCTCATTCAAACATACAACAAGACACTCACCGCTTTGTCGCGTCTTCCAGCAAGCGCTGTCTACCGCCAAGCAACTGAATCGATGACTCAGCACCGTCTTGCCATTGTTGAAGGCAATGAGGACGTGTCCGAGATTGAAAAGACTATCGACAATGGTCAGATCGAGGAACTCATTATCCAAGCTGAAGAAGAACTCAAGCTCGTTGGCAAGATGGAGGAATGGAAGCCTTGGGAACCTCTTGAAGTCCCTGTTCCTAAGGGTCAATGGGTTTACAGCCGTGGCGAGTAAATCAAAAACCGACTAGAATCCTTGTTTCTTTTTGTTACATATATAAAAACGCTATGATGAATTACATACAAGCTATCCTTCCAATTGCTCTAAGCTATTGACAATATCACGCCATATCGTTGCACTCTATATCACCATCAACGCACATTCATGAGCAAAAAAGGGGGGGGGAAAACAGAAGAATGAATGCATCATTTACCTGCTGATAAAAGTCGACTTTGGCATTTGTGTAATCACTCAGCGCTTCACGCATTTCACATGACTTTGTACGTGCCAAATACCCATCTTCGCGCTTTACTTGCTCTGAAAAGCCTGTGGATACTTGATGTGTTTGTTCAACGGCATCTTGAAGCTATAGTGTGGAGGGTATTAATATCACGATAGATGAACCTTGCTAGTGCTATACATACCTCTCGAATTTGCTCATCCAATCGAAGCACCTTTTCCCTCCGAATCTTGTCAGCATCAGCACCTCGCACTTCATTTAGCTTTCCAGTAAAATAGCCTGTCAGATTATAGCCTCCACCTTCCCCTGGTCGCGGATGTAGTGTTTTCTCTCGCTCTGTGATGGTTGCTTGGAGATAATCTGAAAGCTCTTCAAAGTCCAATTGCTTTTGATCCCGTAGTTTGAGCACACTCTACATACATACACAATAGCCTAATTAATCACATTTCCCGTTTCCATGGATACGCATGCATTACCTTGACAACATTGTAATAGGCCATAAAATCATGAACTTCACTTAGCCACATGCCATCGTGCGTAGCCATCTCCTTCATGTGTTGTGAATAGCTCAACAATCCTGTAGCAAATTTGCCGAGTGGTAACCCTATCCGGTTCTCATGTTCAGCCAATCCAGCCATGCTGCTTGCAAGCTCTTTGTAGTCGTGTGCCATGTCTATTATTGGAAAGCGTCAAGCAAGCGCATTTTTTAATCAATCATCGGATGACTTTTTACCTTCTGTGCGTTTGTTGGTACGTAGTAATGTCTTTTCCAAAAGACTCATGTTCTCTTGAAGACGATCCACACGGTCTTTCATCTCGACAAAGCGCTCATCCTTTTTCCGGATTTTGACAAATGCATTCACGAGGGAGTCGCTAATGGTATCCATCATGGTCTCTTGGCTTTCACGAAGTGCACGAGCTGAGGCATCATTCTAGGCATTTGCATGGCAAAATTAGTGCTGTTTATGCATATCCCCATCCCATCCTTTATGTATACGCACAAACTTTGACGATTCAAGAAACATGATAAAGAACTCGGATTTTTGTAATACGGGATGACGTGCAATGCGTTGGAGATATCGCTGGAGGCTATGTTTGACTGGTCAGCCTATTTGTGTAAAAGAGCCATTCATTGTGAAACGACATACCTGACGCGTCGACGTTCAATGAACTCGCTACTGAATCGATCACCCTTGACATACTCTAAATCCATTCTCGAGTCACTTGGATGCTCATATGGGGTTGGGGGGGGGAGGGTGTTCATGTCCACTTACCCATCCTATGCTTGTCTGGAAGAGGGGGTACAAAGCATGCTGGAAAGTGTGTGTATAATACATTGTAGAGCCATACAAAGTCCTGGAAGCGACGCCGCACAGATGATTTCTAATCACATGATGATATGAGTACGCCGCCTATAAAGACAACTTTAGGGATAGAGCACTTACAGGAGATACGATACGATATGAAATGTAATCGTTTTCTTTCCGTGGATCGGACACCAAGATGTTATGCTGAGGTTGATCTTGTTGGCTCCGAGTGGCGAACGGCGACGAGGAAGATTCAGCATTATCATGCAGGGTAAGCTTATTGTCGTCCTGCAACCACGAGCCACCACCACCTTTCTCAATGCTTGCACCAGACACAAGAGGATCATTGGACTGCTGAACATCAATGGACGTCAAGGAAGATGCTGGATCACCATTCGAAGACTCCTGCTATCACGGAAAGTTTCAAAATGTGAATGCCAAGAGAAGAAAGGTTGCTGCTGCGTATGTACCTCTATAGGCGGTTGTTGTTGTATAGGTTGATTTAGACTATCAGTGATATCAGATAAAGGGTCGAGAGTATCATGTTTGGTATTGTCTTGGATATCCCATGTGACATTGCTGAATTCTTCTTCGTCCATTGAGGGGGGGAAAGTTAAAGGAGTTAAATGAGGAGTGAGTGAGTGAGTGAGTAGGAGGAGGAGAGAGGGAAAGAAGCAGCGACGACAACAGGATAAAAAAGGCAATCAAGAGAATCACAACACACGTGAGATACAAAATCAAGATGATGATATCTATTTTCTTTGTTCAAACAGCAAATGCAAACATTACAATGGACAACATGATAATAATACGTGTAAAGGTGCAAGCAGATGGCGTTGACATGGTGGAAGAAGCAAAGATGCTCTGAGAATGACCATCATTTGAATTACCGTTCGAGGAACCGCCCAATGTCTTGCCCCCTGAACTGCCATTGGGAGACTGAGCGGGTGCAGCTGACCGGATTTCGATAGGAATGGGGAGTTCAGTATTCGTTGAAGCATCAAAAAACACGACATTGTAACGCCCTGGTGCCACAGTCGATGGGATCTTAAAGTTGAATGAATGCTCATAGTATGTAATGTTCCCATCATGCTTGGCGGATGCTTCCGTTTTTGACACATCCGCATTATCCGTAATCACAATAGGCTCCGGTTGCGTAGCATTCTTACCACCACTACCACTACTGCTGCTACTGCTGCTATTTGTTGATGATCCTCCTCCTCCTCCAGTAGTAGGTGATGCAGCAGCAGCCGATGCAGGAGCAGCACTTGCAGCAGCACCAGCACCATGTTGTTGATTACCCGATGATGAGGTTGTTGGCGTCGTAGCCACTGGTTTAAGAATGATTTGGAGACGAAGCGCTGTTGATCCATAGAATGATGAACATGGTTAATAAAAGATATCCACCCAATGTCTATAAATGCAAACTTATTTTCCATCAATGGGATCCATACATGAACTGTCAACATCACTCATAAGACGATAGGTGCATGGTAGGATACGATCCACGACATAAGGGCCATTGGACACAGGGCTTGTGACATTATAATTTCTCATGGGAGCTGACAGCTGGGCTAACGAATGGGTCCCCACCAAGCTCAAGATTAGCAAAGATAGCAACACGCGAGTAGTAGTAGTAAAAGTAGTATTCATGATGATGAGAATGGTAAAGGAAAAGAAGAAGAAGTGTATCGCTTGACCAAGAGAGAAGGAGAACAGGTAGATACCTTTATATACAAATGTTTTGTGTGCCAAAAAAAAAGGAGCTGAAGGGCAACAACCAAATTTTGAGGAGTTAGGGGAGAGTGAGAGTGAGAGAAGACTTGCTCCCGAGCATGCATTTTGCTATAGATGTGCCGCTGGGTAGTAACGATGTTGGAGAAAAGGGGTTCAGCAGTGGAGCTAGAAACAGTAGGCGATTCAAGTTTATTGCAGCCTCTGCATACATCTCACATTGCCACGCCCTTGGTCATCGATTCTATCCTTGGTTCCTTGGGGATCATTGTGCTCATTATGAGAGACTCTAGAGCATAAAACGGGGAAGAAGAAGCTGTCAAAAGTGGATGGTGGGTGTGGTGTATGTGCGAATGAATGAGAAAACAAACTATTTTTATTTGTTTGTGGGCGGTGTTGTATGATGGAAGGAGGAGTACATATCCTTTTCCTTGCGAACCAGGGTAGTAGCTGTCATTGCTAAAACATTCATTTCATTGGGGATGCAACTATGTTTATTCGTTGTTGTGAATAGCAAACTGTCAAAAGAACACCAATTTATTAAGGGTGAGCATTCATCGGTGGCACAATGGTATGACGGAATTTGTTTAGTCTATAGCATCTCTATGTGGGCGATCACCGAGTAAAGTTCAGTATACTACAACAATGTATGGCCTGTGCACGTGCAATAATGGCAGGTTTCTTTTTGGGAAAGGGCGGCGGTGGTTGTCATTGGAAACGTGCATTACATCAACATTTCACCAGTGCCATGATGTTTTCTTTTCATTCGTTTATATGATGATATGGAATCTTATGTATAAACAATACTAGTAAACAACAATGTTCAAGGAATTCATGCGTCAAGATGATAGCTGCATTCTCCCCGAGCGGGCCAATGTACTACGCATATTGCGATCTGTGATACAAAGATAATGGATTGGCTGCCACAGCTAAAAATAGCAGACACCGAGAGAGATTAGCATTTAGCTACCAAAGACACTAAGCCCATTAGGCCCTGGTTTCCACTTCCCCTTTCTTACTATTTGCCACCTTCTCTTTCTTTTCTCGGCTTGAGTTTATTCTAAACATCTCTGCCAATGACCGAAAACCAGTCTCCATTCCCTGCTCCCATGCCACCGCATCCTCCTCCCCATGAAGGCATGCATGACCATCACTCACAACACCAGCAACAGCAGCAGCAGCCACCTGTAAAGCATGTACAACGAGCAAAGACCATGAAAAGTACAGCGAGCAAAGTGGGTCGATTCTTCAAGAAGACTGGAAAAGACAACAATGACAAGCATCGTGACAATGAGTTGCGTTCCATCTCATCGGCAAGCAGTCAACGAGGTTGGGATCGTGCTTCGTTTGGTGGAGGGCCTGAATATTATAATGATGCCCTGGATCGACCCGTCTCACAGGCTACTTCATACTATGGTGAGCCATCCTACAGTAAGTAAAAGGCCGTATGTTCTATGACATGTACCTATAACTCATATCATTTGGTAGATGATGTTGGATCAGATGTACGTCCTACTTCGATACAGAATGATGGTGGAGGAGCCTTTTCACTAGCACGACAGCATGCAGATGATGATTCACCCGAGGTCCAAGAACTATTACGCGAGCTTGAAGAAGTGAATACGGCCATTTCTCATATGCAAAAAGAAGTGATTTCAGAAGCTGATCGGAAGCATGCATTGCAACAACAATATGAAGAGATGCGACGTATGCTGCAACAAGAGGAACAAGAATATCAGCAAATCGAACATCGATTCTTTGAGCACACGCGCTCTGTACGAGCCACTGATGATGATTTATCGACCATTCGCGACACGTTCAAATTACTAAAATACTCGATTGCACGCCTTATCATGTCCCTCAACAAAAAAGCCGACATGCAAACCGCCGCATCCAAGTTTGCATCCAAATGGCCTGCCTTGATTCCAAAGGGTGCCTCTGAACTTGAGCCCGTACACATCAACTTACTGGCAGAAAAGCTTGTGCATGAACATTTGGTCTATGAGATTTTCAAATGCCCCGTCTATCCAGGCATGGAGATCAACGATGCTTATGCTTCAGTGAGCGAATGGCTGACAGCCAATGGATCCGATTTCGCAGTACGCTTGCGACAACAACTAGCATGCATTATCGCCAAAAGCAACAAAGACAGTGATCTACAACAAGCAGCTGCCACAGAAAAGAAGCGGATTGTCGATACAATTTACCAAGATTTGGCCGATGTGTACTCACCCTTTTTACGTGAACACGATGCAAAGGCGGATGAGGAGAAGCGATACATCAATAAGGTGGCAGACATTGTAGAGAAGGCAACCAAATTGACAGTGGCTATCCGTGGACAAGAGGTTGATATATCTACACTCGATACCAAGGAAGGAGAAGCACCCTTTGATCCAGAAACGATGGTCGACGTCAAGGGTAAAACAAGTGGCACAGTGCGTTTCTGTATTTGTCCACCTTTTATTGGAGGCGATGGAGAACATGGATTCGTGGAAAAAGGCAAAGTCGTTGTTGCTTAGATGTCCAAAAGCAAGTTTGTATTGTTATCGTTCCTCACTTCTCTCTCCCCCACAGCTACTCTTTCGCGGGCGGGGCGCCCCGGGGGGCCGGGGGGGGGGG